ACGCTTAAAAATATGTATAAAATAATGATTCCTCTTTAACTTTAAAGAAACAAGCTTTTGTAAGATAACTTGTAAGAATGACGGGACGCGACCGACGTGGGTTTACAAAAACAAATTTTGATTCCCATAATAACTATTCTAAGTCGACGAAGTCGCTGACACGGCTACTGTAACATGAGATAACGGATGACCTGATGAAGTCAAATCTTAGGTAAGTATTAACTAGATACGTATTGGGTTAATCATTATTGTTTCGTTCTATTAGAAGTTGCTTTAGTTTTGAATAGTCCTGATTTATTTATACACAATTTTATAATCCTTTAACTTCATTTATTCAACGAATTATCAAAAAACAAACGGTTTAAGGACAGAATGTATGATGAAAACTTCTACGTAAATAAGTTATGCTAACATAAAATAGTTCTATGAAACGAAGCAAAAATACCAAACCGAGTCGATACATAATGTTGATATACTGTAGGTGTTAAATATCCGTAAACAACCGGTGTCTATAGTGAATGATATGTAAATCGTAATAGTTTTAGTAATAATTAGCATTTTGTTGAGATTTTGCGAGCGGTCTTTGTGAATTCTTTGCAGCGAGGCTATAGATGAAGAAAAGGACACACGAATTTGTTACAACCGCCGACTTCAATGTCGAATATAAAACTGGTTAGTCGTCCGCTTACTGCTCCAATCCGCGACGAGATTATAAACACTTTTAGGTATTCTATGACAAAGGTTTGTGGAACTATTCGCCGTGATAATAAGCCAGGGATATGAAAGAATCGAAAATAACAAACTGAAGTTTCCGCTTAATATGCTAAGCATTGTGTAACATTATAGTATACATCGTCTAAAGTTATTAAGTACCAAATGTTTTGGTCAGTCTATGTTGCTGTAGCGATTTTGAATAATACCGTGGATAACTAAGGCTCGTAGCGTTATAACTCAGATCTAGTTAAGTTATCTCTAAGTCTGCGATAGCGTAATATTGTGTGAGATGGTTTTTATTTCAAAGATCCTTTCTGACAGATATAAACCATTATATCGCATATATAATCCAGGAATTTGACGTAAGCGAAATAAAAGTGAACATTCCTGCCATCTTATGCTTATTATGTAGGTTTGACGCTACATATTAAAATACATAATCCTCGCTGACCAGAAACCGGTTAAGAATCAAGCAACCTACTAAAACGAATTGATAAAACTACTACAGCATACATGTACACAAAATATATTCATTATACATCAAAAAGATAAAGGTATTTTTAAAAGTACCTATAAAGTAATACAATTTATTCTCATAGTGCGTTGTTCTTTGATGAGAAGTACTACTATCAACAATAGGAACTTGTCTATTTAGATATTAGGCGCTCATAGATTGCACAGTGTAATGTTTTACTATTCGTTTCCGTTCAACAATTAAATAAAATTATAGCATTTCAAAGGAGTGATAAGAAAGAAGAAATTCGATATATTTTTTAAACATTTTATTACATTCAATAGTACATCGAATAATATCCATGTAAAATATAATAATTTTGGTCGCAAATTATTAACTAATTCATACTTAGTATACATTCTTAACATCTTCTGTAGGCGTTCACATTCACACTTATTATATCAAGTTTTGATTGATTCATATTTAACAATAGATATAGCTTAGAAAAGTAATCATTATAATATACTTAATTATTTAAGGACTTATGTTATTGGATTCGAACTCCGTGAAAATCGAACAGCAGATTTCATTGTCTAGTTTCATAGTTAAGTCTTTAGATTTTTAATTATTGGTATTATAATGCAAAATAACAATTTATTACAAAGAAATTGCTAAAATAAAATAACAGTACATAAGAAATAGAATAGAACTGATTTGTAGTTTAACTGTTTAGACGTTATACAAAACATATTTCGTTATTGTTTTCACATATAAAAAATTGAAAAGATGTTTGAGATTCAAAAAATAATTGCACAGGTGACGACGACACGGTACGCTGCTGGTCGTGAGTTTAATTCCCGCGTGTATCATCGATTTTTTTAATTTAAAAGTACTCTATCAAAAATAAAGTGCTACAATAGGCCGATCGCTCGTAGGATAAATTAATTACTACAATTCACAACCCTAATCTAACAATAATAACAGGGCGGTCACAAGCAACAAGTAAGTTTTTAAGCATTAAATGGATGTTTTATCAAGACAAAACGTATTTATATACAGATTACTTTACACGGCAATAAATGATCAACTAAATGCGCTATACTTGTACATACTTATTTGCGTTTGCGCCGATAGTATTATAGATTGTAACTGAGCTTAAGACGGATTTTTTGTAGTTGATAAGTGCCATCTTATAAATTTGGATTCATTCTTCTTTTACTTTCCATCAAGTGGTCTTGTCTATCGTACTTATTAAAAAAAGAAAAAAATGTTAAAGTTCTTGCAAATGAAAACTAAAAATGTGAAAAAATATTCAATTATTTAGCTTCTATCGTAAATATTTTTTATAGAACAAAAATGATGAGTAAGAAAACGAAATAATGTGTAATTATGTAAGAAAACGAAATAATGTGTAATTATGTATGTATGTAGTAACGAAACAATGTTGTTGCGGTAAAGATTCAATCGAAAAGTGATTTTTGTTACCCTATATGTTCCGACATAAAGTGTACACAACGTGACAAACGTGACACGTGACCAAACTATTTTGTAAATTATTATGCAGAATGAAACAAATAACTGACAGCCCTGTAAAAAAGCATCTTACTTATAGTAATTCATAAATAATCCAATTTTTTCACCCTTTTCCTTAATTTTTACTTCAGGATCAATATCTAAATATTAGGTAAACTTTTTTGACATGGCACACTAAAATTTTAACCTGAACTTTTCAATTGTTAGCATAAATAAAAATCCACCTCCTTCTGGACCATTATTGTTTAGAAAACTTAAAAGTAACATTATAAGGTCTATTAATCTATTTACATCGGAATCAATTAAACATGAAACATTAAAAAGCTAACAACCACCAGTGAACCACTACTTTATTTTATATAAGCCATTTCTTTTGAATAAGTGCCAATAAGCTGCCAAAGTGTATATAAGTAATACATATGTATATATAAAAAAATATGAAATGGGAATACAAGCAAGTATATCCTCTTAAATTATATTGGTAGAAAGATTTTAAACAGTACAACTGTCTTAATTTCTTTATTATGAATTTAAAAAGCTTTCTTTTTTGAAAATATTCAATTTTTTTGTAAATTAAAAAGCTTTAATGGCCAAACTAATGTAGAGAATTTAGAAAGTTTGCACAGTAAAATCATGCTGTCGGTGTATCAAATTACACAACTGTTTAAAAGTAAAATACCTATTTATTGACAAATATATCATAATTAAACTTGATCATAAATCAGAAATAAACAACTTCAATAAGCACGTACATATATTTAAAAAAAAAAGTTTTTATAGATGGTATATCTTAAGTATAATATTACATTAGGATATTTTATTATTATTTTAATAATTGAATTATCATTCAGTCCAACTATTATAGTATAATAACAGCAATTCTTAGTTTAACCACTCAATACCACAATACTTACAAGGTAGCTTCTAATTTTAAACAGATACAAAAGTTTTAAATACACCTTAATCGGACAAACAGAATACACCTCAATCTTTCTGTGAATACTTAATATTATAACAAAGTTTGAAAGACTGCAATAAAGGATCATCAATGAATTAAATAAATTTTGGTGGTTGCCATCTGAATTCCTCACAAACTCGCGTAAGAGAGTTATTTGCTAGTTCTCTTTGCATAGTATAAATATACAAAAGTAAAAAGTTACTTTAATTTTTTTTCATGATGACATATGGTAGTTGTTTAATTGAGCACATTATTTATTTTATTTACAAAGTCTCCCATTTTTCAGACATTCAGATCTAAAATTAATATATATGTATCAATAGATGTTAGGAGTACCTTCAGATAATCTGTTACTGGAAATAAGGTCCAGACACTTATTCTGTTTAACATATACAGTTATCCACAAAATGCACACCCGAAGTTAATAATTGATTTAAGCTGTGGCCATTTTTTAACATTTAGTGTAGCTAGTTTGAAAATTCTAACAGAAGGTCCGATTTTTACCGACTATGTACCCTGCTTTACACATAACTACTTAACTACAATACTTGTCCCCGACAGAAACAAGTATTATCAATTAATGTATGGCTCGTCCAACCCTACCACTTATAAATTCGCCCATGTTTCACCTACTTTACCAAATATTAAAGGGTTGTTTTCTGGATTTTACACTCCGATAATATTTATTTATGACTAACTATACAAAATGGCAATTTATTTATGGCTGGCTCATCAAAGCTTATCTAGATTATCAAAATTTGAACTTACACCCATTAAATGTCTTTATACTTGTTTCCTTAAATCTGTAAAAGTCATACAGTCTATAAGTATAATTTAGTGCCATAGTGTTTTTGTTTTGGAACTTGTTATATTAGAAATATATTTATGTGTTGGTTCTTTGCTTCAACGATATAACTCTATGCAAGAGCAGTTATCAACTTTCGAAATAGGTAGGGCTACAAAGTTAATGAATTTTGTGGTATGCTATTGATATTTATTCAGATGCCAGACACAGAATTAAAGTGAGAGACAAAATATTACTTTGTTATTCTTACATAACAACATTTGGCACAATATTTAAGTAAGTTTGTCACAATTTCTTAGATTAATGTAATTCAGGTATGAATTACATATAGTTTTAGAATAACCTAACCCAAATCACTTACTCGGTGGATGGATGAATCTTTAGCCTTTCCGACAAATATGTTGCATATATAAGTTATGACCCTAAGAGATGTTTGTTTAATATTAAAAATATAATCTAATTATGCAATTTTAACATCATATTTGCACATAGATACCCACTGTCATAGGAACACATACATAAAAGGCATAGCACGATTAACATATTTGCCTCTTTAACTGTTCACTATTTTCATCACTATCTGAGTTTTTTCTTTTTCGTGTATCAAACCTAACACCAGTCTCATTCACTACTTTTTCACTGTTTTTAATTGCAGAAATGATGTTTTCTTTAGAGGGGGCTACCAATTTTAGCTCATCATAATTTTCACTGACAGCTGGTTCCACCAAATGCATAACAATTTGTTCCAAATGCTTAGGATGCTCTACAGGGGCTTCGTCAACAGCTAAAACTTTATCATCCTGGGTTCTATCCACATCCACAATCACTGAATATTTTCTTTTCATCTCCTCCATCATTTTTCGACCATACTGTTCCCCAATAACACTGTTTACACAGACAAAGCTCTGAACTTTTTTTGTACCTTTATCTATTTCAAGAAAACCTCTTGTTCTCATGTAAATAAAATGGCCTGACCTAGACATTAATCTGTAATAAGACTCACCAAATTCCTTGCTTTGGTCGTACATCTGACGAAGCACACAGATTACCCAACGAACATCTTCTTTGTGCATAAAAACAAAGGCAGAAGTACCTGTGACTTCTTCTGTCATATAACCTGCTGCTAATGAAATGCTTTGATCACATTGGACAATTCTACCGTCAATCAAGTGTCTAGTCCAGTATTCTGAATAAGCTGTGGGTGGCAACATTCTGACTGGTAATGGGTTGGATATAGGATGAACCATACCGATGAACACAAAGTCATTTCCACTAGAAGAAAATGTTCGTTGATGTCGAACTCTTTGCCTTCGAATTGTTTTCTCATCTTCAACACCATTGGATGTTGCTTTATCTGATCTCCGCATCATACCATCAATGCGGCAGCGTTCATATTTTGGTGGATCAGCTCTCGCACCTGCACGCATTAATCTTATATTAAAAGTATGGTGTTGTTCAAACATTTTTGTGTCACAACCAGTTTGCAGTTCAACTGGATAAATATGTTTCCTGAGAATTTCTTTATCTTCAATATGAACATAGTTATAAATATCTTGACCAAGCAGATCAATGTGACAATAACCCAATTTTTCTTGAACATTGGGCGATACATTGAAAATCCGACCACGACATGTTACTGCTATCATAAATCCACCAATAATGTCAAAAAATTTCAAAATAGCTTTAGACCACGTTTCGAGGTGGCAGCATTTGATGGAGTCACCAAAAACATGTTCGTTGCGTAGTTTGTTAGCGGCTAGTCTTAGCACACTAGTTTTGTCAACCTTACGTTGCGAGTGGACGATATCAGAGAGCAGAGTCATCATTTGTGCAATTTCAGAGTTAAACTGACTTCTTCGATGCTTCTCGGCGATGATGCGACATTCTCTATCGCTCGCTTTAGCTCTCGGCAGTTCAGGTGAATGAGCATCTGACGACGAATCACCGCAGCTCCCACTGGCGATGTCAAAGCTCGGAGCCAAATTGAAATCAGGGTTCGCAATACCAAGCTGCGTTGAAGTACCGGAGAAAACATTCATCCTAGTATTCGTAGTCCCTGATGCAGCCATAGCTATATAGTAAGTAAAATTATAAATACGTCGTCCTTGCTCCTTGTCGGATATAATTCATACGCTTAACCGTGCAAGGGCATCAAAACAACAATGTGCTTTTCGTTCCAGTGTCAACTTATAAAAAACGTTAGTTCCATTCTTTGTACTTGCACTGGGTTTAAGAGAAATATCCAAAATGATAAATCATTTAAAACAATCACAAATACCACTTGGTCTAAAAATTATTATCACAAGTCACAACACACACAATAGAAACTACTGATAACATTACAGTATTACACGAATCACGAGTCCCGATTTTCAAATGACGACCAATCGCAAACGGAACCTAATTGGAAACAATATTTTTGAAGTTTGAAGTAAATAGACAGATCCATAGACAATACTTGAAACGTCAGTTCTATGTAATACTTGCCAGATAATAGTTCTAAAAACCTCACATATTCTTTTATTATTCGATGTATTAATCCTTAATTATTATTATAATTTATTTTCCTTATAATTCCTTAATTATAATTTATTTATTGATACGTGTATATGTATACAAGTATCAATAAGTAAATAAATACGCAAATCCATTCAATGTAATTACATACTTTACATGATGAGCTAATGAAAAAAAAAACTAATGCTTTAAAACAAACGTCTATGTTTATTTTTCATAGATATAGCTAATTAAGTACGCGTTAATTATGTTTGAAATAACTATGTCGATCCTAAAATATTTATGAAAAGGGTAAATAAGAAAGGAAAGAAGTTTTCTGGCAACATAAGTCATAGTAGATACAAAATACCCATAAATAAATAGACTATAGATAACAAAGTACATTTTGTAAGTATCTGTTGGCGTCTACATTACTTATAAATTAAATATGTATTCTTTCTACTATTCGTTTCAATCTGTGATTATATTTTTTGGCACTACCTAAAATTATTTATACCTCTGTGATTTTTGTGACAGGTCGGTTATTTTTCAAGCTCTAATCATATCATATGGAGACACAAACAACATAACCTATAAAATGGAGTTAAATGAGTCGGAAGAAGAAATACACACGGGCCCAATAGAAAATGCTTGGTCCATGAAAATACCTAAGTTCACGCCAGATGATAATCCAAACGGGCTTTTGGAAGAAAGTAAATTTGCAACGCTGTTTCCCAAATATCGTGAACAATACCTTAAGGAGTGTTGGCCATTAGTACAGAAAGTCCTTAAAGAACATCACATTGTTGCAGAATTGGATTTAATAGAAGGGAGTCTTACTGTTAAAACTACAAGAAAAACTTGGGACCCGTATATCATCATAAAAGCGAGAGACTTTATGAAGCTATTATCACGAAGTGTCCCTTTCGAACAAGCTGTTCGCGTTTTAGACGATGACATTGGATGCGACATTATCAAAATTAATTCATTTGTTACAAAAAAAGACACTTTTCTCAAAAGACGACAACGTTTAATTGGGCCAAATGGAGTAACATTGAAGTCGATAGAGCTCTTAACTGAATGTTATGTGTTAGTCCAAGGCAATACTGTATCAGCCGTAGGCCCTTATAAAGGTCTAGTTCAGGTCAGGCGAATTGTCGAAGACACCATGAAAAATATACATCCTATGTATAATATTAAAAGTCTTATGATAAAACGAGAATTAATGAAAGATCCAAGATTAAAAAATGAAAGTTGGGACAGATTTTTGCCTAATTTCAAAAGTAAAAATGTGCCAAGAAAACTGCCTAAAAATAAAGTTAAAAAGAAGCCTTACACTCCATTCCCACCTCCACAACCTGAAAGTAAAATTGACAAAGAATTATCAACAGGTGAATACTTTCTTAAAGATGATCAAAGGAAAGCCAAAAAGCGACATGAAAAGGAAGAAAAACAACAAGAAGTTAAGAAAGCCAGAGAGGAGGCCCGGAAAAAAGATTTTATCCCACCCATTGAAAAGAAATATGAAAGTTCTATGCCGCATGAAACTGTTGTTGATATTAATGCATTCAAGGCTAAAATAAAAAAGGCTTCAAAAGATAAAAGAAAGCCTAAGACATAGTTTTATAAGTATTTTTTTTGATAAAGCATTAAATTAAGCATCTTTTCTTTAAATACTCTAAGCTGACATTCTAAATAAGTCTTAAATCTTTTATAATTTTTTTGACCCATTATTAAAAATTTTAAATAACAATTAAAATTCCTTTGGGTTGTGCTTATAAATAAAAATAAAGCACAATAAAAAATATATTAATAAAATTGCCCCAGATATTTTGTTTTTAAAGTATTTTCATATTATTTTACCATCAATTACATTAATATGTATGGTTGTTGATACAGAAGATTGATTTCAGTAATATTTCTTTAAAAAAAACACGAAATATATAAGTCAATTATACCCATAAGACCTTTATCACTTTGTAGCTAATCAAAGTTTTAAGCGGTTAACATTAGGAAATATTAATGTCGTTTGTGTGTTTTTATGTAAACCCCCCACACAAAAACACAACATTAAAAATTTTAAGTACATAGACAGTGTTAAGAAAATGATATACTTGTATTATGATAGGAAAAACTATATTTTGCATTTCACATTTACATTTTTTTAGTGAATTTCTATTAAATGATATAATGATGAGAACACTTAACAACTTTAGTAGTAAGTAGTAGTAGTAGCTCTAGTAGTAAGTAGACTAATCAGATCTTGAATGGTACAAAACAATAATAAATAGCTCAGAAGTATTCGCCGGAGTTTAAATGTTCAGTCAAAGAGTAAATTTTATTATGTAAAATAAAATGCTCAACGTTGGAATTTGTTTGGCCAAACGATTTCCTCAATCCAATCTAGGTACTCGGAAACACGTGTGTATACACCAGGAACAGTGGACGCGCAGCCACGACCGAATGACGTCACGCCGATCAACCGATAGTTACCGTCTTGCTCGGTCAAAGCTTGCAACGGTCCACCAGAATCACCCTGAAAGTATATTTAACTTTTAACAATAGTCAGAAAACTACATTGTTCTTTTGCTACTTTGCCCAAAAAACACAAATTTCAAGCAGAACTAGCCGCAGTTCTCATTACTCACTAACACTGAAGGGACAATGCAAATAGGTTTTAAAAAAATGGTGTGATCTCCTTTATTCGTTTTATTTACCGTTAACTAAAACATCGCGCGTTTTTAAACCGTTATGTGTTATATTTAAATGTGTACTACTCGTGTAAAGTAAAGACAGTCTAGTTATTGTCTGTCTAGATATTCATTTTGGTCTTATTTCCTTCTGACAGTAATGAAAAAATATCTTTTTAAATATTCGTTACAATAGGGCACGCGGCATGTTTAGTGCTGAACGAATGTATTTAGTTCTTTTATTCGTTCAATTTGATTCGACTCGTCACACTGAATCCATTATGGATCCTTATGCACATACCGTTACTAATTACCTGACAAGTGTCGTGTTTCCCGAATTCGTCGCCAGCACAAATCTGCGTACGCGCAATTCCGTTGGGTAGCCGACGCCAATTCATATATGATTCGGTGCATTGACTAATGGGTACCACAGACACGTTCGCTTTCAGAAGAATATTGCTCCTCGTGTCACCTACATGTTAAATTTCAAATTATTGCAGGGATTCATTACATGTGTACTAGAACTTTTGCTTCAAAGGGCAACAATTAATTTTTCCTCAAGGGAATTAAGGTTTCTCGGGGAACATTTATTTACATTTTTATACAAGAAATTTCATGGATAGCTTTGTTGATCTCTTATGGTGAATTTATTTTTTAAGGTAAAAGGTGTATCTTACGTGTAGTACTGGTCTTGCCCCAGCCCGTAATAGTTAGTGGGACTGTAGGATTTTCATCCTTTGTATGGAGACATATGGGGTTTAAATTTGGAGACAGCGTCGCTGGAGTCTCCAACCTACAAAAGAATCATTATTATATATTATTTACATGAGACCTATAATGGAAGATGTCAGAGCAGTGGTCCACAATATCTCTTAAAACGTGACAAGTAAATTGTGGTGGTTTTTATAAATTAAACAGGGCGGCAAATCCGAGATGGTGGACCTATTATTTAAATAATTAGTCCTTTATTTTCTATTAATTATTCCTTAGTATTATAATAAGTAGGACACACCTGAGTAATGCTAGATCGTGATACTTTTCCTTTCTGGAATATTGAGGGTAGAATGTAATATCAGCTATGATTATATCAGTTTCCCTGTTGAACCTAGGTTCCTTTATTTCAACAACGCCTAATCGAGCAATGCTTGGTCTTATTCTGTAATAAATTATTTATTAGCAGTGAGTTTACAGTACCACGTGAGTTTTATTTACAGCTAGGACATATTAATGTCTTGATTGTTTATATACTTTTTCTATTAGATAACAGAAGCCTTCTAATTCTAATAATTTTATTGGATAATAAATTTATTCCTTTTTTGTTTTTATTCCGTTGATTTGATTGATATTGACACCAAATTTCATAAATATCTGTTCAGCGTAAAACAGTTACGTACAAACATTATACATCACAAACTTTCCCAATTATCAAAATAGTAAGATATGACAAATTCTTAATTAGGCACTTACTGGTCTAGAGTGTCCAAACAATGAGCTGCAGTGAGTACATAGTTTTCAGAGATAAGAGAACCTCCACAGTCAAATTCCAATACGTCTGAGCGATTGTACCCCAATGCAACCTGAAATAAAAAGGTATATTTCTTCTTAGAGAATGGTAGAAGGGATGTTAATATGACAAGTAGACTTAATGGCCCGGAAATGAAACACAGGGCTGGACTGAGTGGACGGGGTGGGACAGGGTGGTTATTGTTTTATTCTATTTATGGATTATTTGCCATGAATCAAATCAAGTTGGTTCCTGCAAATAATGCCATAACTCCTTCATCTCATGTTGGTAGTAAACAGTGATGTATATTTAAAATACTAAAAACGATCTGTATCAAACGACAAACATATATTTTGTGCTTATTTTATAGCTAATGGCTACATTTCATGAATTCCAACTCGCTATAGGCTAATTTTATTTATAATTAATGACGTTAACGAGACAGAATGCGGTTAAATTCCAGTTGGTAAAATCATTTCATCCAATGTCTAATTGATATGATTTAATATTCCAGTAATAAGGAAAACCTGAGTACCATGTGTGGGAATTCCCCTGGCGATGCTGTTTCCCCACCGATAATATGTAGGCCGAGAGGTGGTATGCTTGTCTCAACTATTTTCTGACATTCTGAAACAATGCTTTATATATATCGGATTTTCTTTTGAATAGAAAGATTATAGGCTTAGTTAATTAATTTATTAGCAAAACACTAACTACATAATAATAATTATATGTATAGCATGTCTTTGTTTTTCGTGTTCTCGATGTTTTGCCATCACGAACGGACGGCATTACGAGATGATAGCTCGATGGCTCGAAGATTCATATGCTAAATGATGGCCGTGAAAGCCTTAGACAATTAAATAATTATATAGATTAAATTAAATAAATATAGAATTGTACTTACGAATATCTGCAATTCTTCCACCTGCAATGTGACTGATATTAGAGACATTTGACTAGGTAAAACATTTTAAACTATATAACTGTTAAATTAATATTAATAATAACAAAGCTTTATCAAAGTTTGCCAATATTTTATTAATGCTTTACAAAACTCTTTTCAAAAATTAGAAAGCCTTGTACTATTTATTAGCAAAGTAGCCTGCAATTAAAATATAACTAAATGATGTAATCATAGAAGTATTATTATTTTAATGCTAGTATGAGTAATACAATTTTAATTTATGATGGTGTCACCAAAACTAAAACCAATAATTGCATATAATATATCACATTTTTTAGATATAATTTTTTCCTTTTCTAAAGATACATACCAAATTTAGCCTCTGTCTTAACAGTGCTTGTTGGGTGAGGCTGGTCTTCACCTTTGGGACAGCAAACAATTTCAACTTTACCACTGAACCCACACCGTTTAAAAGGGTGGTTATCATTTTCTCTGATAGCCCTTGAAAGAAAAAATGCACCATGTTAATTTATCTAATATATGCTCTGCTCAGGGTACTATAATTTTTTAACTTTGGATTGGGAACAAATATTTGCCGGCCCTTCCTGGTTCTTCTTGAGGTGTGACATCACATTTACCATATTAAAGGCCCTTCCTGATCCTTCTAGAGGTGTGAAATCACATTTTCCAGATTTACACATTTTTGTGATGGCTTTACTGATTGATCTTATACTGGCCTATTCATTATTGCTAATGGTCGGAAAGTTAACATTTCCTTAACTTCACTCTATGCCAGGCATGGTAAAACATGCCCGTGAGTCCAGGTTCTCTACAGAATTACAGTTATATTATGATGCAATATCTTCTTAAGAGCAAAGTGAAAAATACATTATTTGAAGTTTTATATGTAACATAGCATTATGACTTGCTAAATGCTGAATGTGCTTAAAATTACACTTATACCTATTATATTTATTAGTATTACCTTTCTTTCATAGCTTTTTATTTGATTTTGTAAGTATTCATTTATTTTACATATATACTGCCAACCTTTTATTTGTAATTCATGTAGAATTTGGGTACTAGTTGTGTTGTTTCTATTTTTTACATGTGGTAGCATATGTACAATAAATAATTATATTATAAAGTCTATGTGCACACATATAAAATCTATGAACTTGTAAAATAACATTATTTGTATTAAACATGATAACACAATCAACAGTGACTGACCTTATGGCCACAGGGCAATCATCAAGCAGGACACAAGTACCCCCAGATGTTTGGGGCTGTGGTTTACATCTATCACCAACTAAAAAATTAAAAATACATTATTAATAAACAATAATAAATGAAATACCTATTCAAAGTTAAAAGATACCACTGTATTATATTGTTAAAAGAGTGGAATCCAAAACTAAAGTGTTAAGCAAACGAAATATTAAAAAACTTACTAAATAATCCTAATGTTACACTAAACTTCAAACTTAGTAAAATTAAGTATGTGCACAATCGTAGATGGTGCATTTTTATATATTAAAAATGAACACTTTTGCGACTTTAAAATAAATATTTGTAGGTTCACGTCACATAACATCAATGCTTTTCCTCAACTTGAAACTTATCTATTTTGCGAACGAAACCGGTCTTGGGTTATACCAACAACGTACGAAAATCACACATAATATATGTACATCTTCCTATTGTAATTAAAACTGGGTGAATAACTTTTAATAACGGTAACTACTTCGTATATATTCGCAAAAAATCAATAACAATTAAAAAGTACTTCTTTCAATGAGAAACTGTTGTGCACTAAATTATTTAATAATAAACACACCTATTTCATTTGGGTTTAAGGAGAATCACGATTCAATGCAATTTAATAGTAGCGTCATGTCGATAAACATCTTTTTAGACGTTGTTTTAATTCTGTACAGTTTATGTATACCACTTTAAGTGTAAATTGGGTTTTTTTAAAACTTGAAATTAAAAGCAAAAAGAACAATTTCGTTAATAATTTGATTTAAATATGGTGACAAGTTGACAGTTTGTATTTTTTTTTTAACTAAAATATACGTTTAAATTGATAATAGTTTTTGGTAAGAAATATTACACAAAAAAGAGAAAAATATCTAGGCGTTATCCGTTGAAACTGTACCATAATAAAATATTATAGTTCACTAAAAACTGTGCTATAGATATTCATAAATGTAAACTGTCAATCTTCTCATCATATATTAGACAAAGTAAAATAAAGTAAATCACTATTAGTCTGTGGTCTGGTAAATAATAATTGGTATCTTCGCAGACGTGTACTGTTAAACTTATGAACCTATATAAAACAAACTATCGTTAAATTATTCCTTCATACCTAAAACTTAATAGTCTAGTCTTATTTTATCAAGGTTTAATGACCTCGTAAAGAGACTTTTAAAATATGTCTTATCCACAGTGTTATCTCTGAGAAATATATGTGTTATATACATCCGAAACCTTTTATTCCAGTTCCTTCTACCATGTTTTTACTTCGACTAATAAAAAGAAAGGAGATGGTCAAAAAACAGTGATTAGTTTGCAAATCAAAAAACAACATTGACGTGATTGTTCCAGCTAGGAATATTAAAAATAATAATATATAATTTTTTTTTAATAAAAACCCTTTTCGGGTTTTAAAGCCCATTTTTTTTTTTTTTTTTTTTTTAAATTTTTTTTTTTTTTGGCCGCGGGGGTGGGGGGGGTTGGGGGGGGGGGGGGGGGGGGGGGGGGGGGGGGGGGGGGGGGTTTTTCCCCCCCCAAAAATTTTTGGCGCCCCCCCCTCCCCCCCGGGGGGGGTGTTTTTGGGGGGGGGGGGGGCGTTCCTTTTTTCTTTTTCTTCTTTTTTTTTTTTTTTTTTTTTTTTTTTTTTTTTTTTTTTTTTTTTTTTTTTCCCCCCCCCCCCCCCCCCCCCCCCCCCCCCCCCCTTTTTTAATTATATTTCCTTTAGTGATCGATGCTAATATGATATTATGATTTATTAACTTAGCTAATAATTAAATATAAATGACAATGTTAATAATGTAACTGTTATTATTAAATTTATTACTGTTTGTTACGCTATAAATATTCTTCGATCTTTTTGAATTAGGATGTTATGCCGCCTGATTATTATTATTACTTAAAAACTAAGACAAGATAAATAAAAATTCATCCAAGTTTATTCATACAATTTAATTATAAAGTCTAGTTAAAAGACATCAGAATTTGTTTGGCCAGACAACTTCTTCAATCCAGTCAAGGTATTCGGAAACTCGTGTGTATACACCAGGCACAGTGGACGCGCAGCCACGACCGAATGACGTCACGCCGATCAACCGATAGTTACCGTCTTGCTCGGTCAAAGCTTGCAACGGTCCACCAGAATCACCCTGGAAAACAATTGAGTAGTTCTTAACAATAATCATTGTGACATTTTTTTTAATATTCGTAGTTACTGTTAAGAGGTGTATTATAAGCCCATTTACAACCATAAAGATTAGGTGTTAATAGCAGAGCTGGAGCAATGCTAATAATCAACATATCGTAGATGCGATTCCCACTGATCCATATTTAATAAATTTTTTATTATTAAGTTGGATATTAATGGGTATATCGCATTTCACTAAATATTACAAATTAAAAGTGTAAGTTTTGGTTTTTTTTGGACTCCCAAATTCAAATTCAAAATGTCGACAGCCCATTTGTAGATTAATGGTGGGTATTTTTTCCAAATTTATCATCTACCATCAAGTGATCCTATGCTTGTAAAAGAGTAATCACTCATTATTTGCCTACTAAATTTAGTATCATACAATACTGAAAGGCCTCTCACCTCACAAGTGTCGTGTCTCCCAAATTCATCGCCGGCACAAATTTGCGTGCGCCCTATTCCGCTGGGCAACCGACGCCAAGATCCATACGACTCCCTGCATTCACTTACAGATACAATAGACACGTTTGCCTTAAGAAGAATATTGCTTCTTGTGTCGAGACCTACAATTTGAATGCATTAATGAATGATCTCGAGTTCACTTATGAAACAAAAGGATGGGAAAGTTCAGAGCTATCCGTATTTTCCAATATTGTGCAATAAAATCCAGATATTGACCAAAAATAAAAGAAAAACTTACGTGTAGTATTAGTTCTACCCCAGCCCGTGATAGTTAGGGGCACGGTAGGATTCTCATCCGTCGTGTAAAGACATATGGGATTTAAGTTCGAAGACGCAGGTGTTACTAATCTAAAAGTTATTAAAAATGTAATAACTAGCTTTTACTTGAACTTCTAAGAGTAAAAATAATTTAAGATACAATCCATTTGTAGATTTCTATAATATTCAAAATAAAAACAAGTCGTTAAAAATCAATTTTAAATTGGTAAAAATTGCTTTGACACCGTAGCTCAATTGGCAAGAGCACCGGCACGGGACGCTATGGATGTGAGTTCTAGTCCCATTCTATCTAAAATAGATTTTTTCTTTATGTAAAGTTATCATGTGCTTACTAGATATATGAAGAATAATGTCATTTTAAATACTTGTATCGTTTTAACCTGCTGTTACACGGCGGGGCACAGGTCTTCTTTCTTATAGACAAAAGGATTTAAGAGCGTAGAGTTAGGTAACTATGGTATATAAATTAAAACAAACTCGGGGTGAGTTTAACTGGCATTAATAGCGTTCCGTCTTTGCTTTAACCAATTGGGCACACACATATCGATTTTTTTAAAAGTGCACTCTCGCGCATGCTACTCAAATTGGGTTTGCAACTAAGCCATTACCTCTTATAAAAAATGAATCTAGCCTACTGATGATAAATTAATAGGTCTCCCCTTGGACATGCACACCTAAGCTACCACCAGCCCTGGGTAAACCGGAGCTGGTGGTATAGGGAGTGTGGGACTCACACCCACTAAAACCCCATTGTGCGCAGTTAAATGAAGGTTGGTAACGGTTGTGACCTTGTCCAAAACCTTCATTTCAGAAGCGCCCTCCCGCATTGCCAGAGGGTGACCCACCCTTTGGCCCTTCAATTTCAGTGTAGTGTCAGCCAATCTGTCAGCGTAAAACACCCCGAGGTCTTTCTCTCCTTCTTCTCACTTCAAAGGCGAAAGGATCTAGTTCCCGGGCCCGCTCGTCACTTTCTTTAAAAGCAAATACCTCCTCACAGTAGTGTTTGACAGCCCTCCATCTACTTTCATCCTGTTACTCTGACGAGGGTAGAGAGAGAGGGTGTATTGCCAATAGTTTGGACCAAGCCAGTAATAGAAAACATGGTCCCTCGCTGAAGATACCATGCTGGGCAATCTAACCAAATGTGCTGAGGAGCGTCTTACCTAAGTAATGCTAAGTCATGATACTTTTGCTTTCTGGAATACTGGGGGTAGAATGTAGTATTAGCTATGAGTATATCAGTTTCCTTATTTAACGTATTTCCTGTGATGTCCACAACGCCCATACGCACAATAGTCGGTTTCATACTGTAAAAAGTTTAGTTAATTGTCAAAAAGAACACAGATATAATACATTTTAACTGTCTTTGCAATAACTAAGATAACAATGTATGGGTAATAACAAACTTTTATTTTTTTTCGAAACAAAACGAACTAAGAACTTTAAGCAACTTTCAAAGGATAGTATAAATGAAGAATTCATCGTTAGAATTTCTACGGCCTGTTGATTGTTATATGAGGCTTATAGAGGCAAAGTGGCCTAATAACAAGAAACAAGGAGGAAAACAAAAATGCACAATTAACTTAGTCGAAATGAATTTATCCTATAATTTGCGTAAAAATGATGTTAAAAATTGTCGATATTCTAGTAGATTAACATTTTTAGACTATTAAATACTGTCTATAGTTTACGCGAGTAGTACTTACACATTTAAATAAAACACTTTAACGGTTTAAAACGCGATATATTAGTTAAACTTATTTGAAAATGATTTTTAACTTCGGCGCGATGTTTCGGATGCTTTGCAGCAGCCGTTATTTAAATATTTTTAGACTATGAAAATATAAATAAAGCAAGTCATAAAATTGCAGTAAGGCTACTCTGCCTCTAGCGGTCTCATTTAGTATTAACGTCAAGCTTTATTAATAACGAAAGTCGGTTAATATACATATGTTAACCGACTTTCGTCTTTATATATATTATTATAAGGATAATAAGTAACTAATTACTCACTGGTCGATATTGTCCACACAATGAGCTGCAGTGAGAACATAATATTCAGAGATAAGGGAACCTCCGCATTTAAATTCGTACAAACCCGAGCTATTGTATCCTAATGCGACCTAGAGAAGAAAACACAAATATTTATCTCTTTCACATGGAACTCGAGCAACCTTTACGACAGTAAACAAACTTAAAGCTTTTAAAAAAACGTTAAGCGTATTTTTACGCTTTAACGCATTAAGTATAACTACTTCGTGTTTTAAACTGTTAATAATGTTTCTTTTTTTTATTCATAGGCATTATTCGAGTTAACTACGGAAATTAATAATTTTAAGACCTAGCTAAGTAAGATACTAATTACATAACTCATTTGATGATTTTAAAGAACACATACGCTGAGACGGCATAGGGTCACTTAGCCAAATCATTAAAAAAGTTTGATAAGTTATTATTAGTAATTAACATTAACATAAGGAAAACCTGTACCATGTGTGGGAATTCCCCCGGTGATGCAGTTTCCCCACCGATAACATGCATGCCTAGAGGCGGTAAACTTGTTTCAACTACTTTCTGACACTCTAAAAAGGTTGAATTCCTTTATTGATAGCAGTCCTCTTCAAAATCAATTAATTCTTTAATAACATGAAATTGAAATATAAAACTTGTGGGTGTACTTACGAATATCTGCAATTCTCCGACCTGTAATATGAAAGACGTTAAGCGTCCTGACTTGGTTAAAAAAAACAGTCGATTCTTTTGCGAGTGAGGCGACTAATTTGTGGATAATGGTATGCATTTCGTCAATTCTATACAGAATTTCACAAATTCTGGTTTTCCTTACAGGAGCCATACACAATATTTGTCTGTTTCACTACTCATTACTATTTATAGAGATGAAGTTTAAGCTACTAGTATTTACGTAGTCTTGGTGTTCAAACCCAAAGCCGCGCATATCCCAATACATTTATCTATTGAACATAAATAGCTTATTTTAATGTTATATATATGTATTTTATAAATTTTTATGACGTACCAAATTTAACTTCTGTACTTGGAGATTTCAAGGTCTCTTCACCTTTGGGACAGCAAACAATTTCGATGTCACCACTGAACCCACATCTTTTAAACGGGTGACTATCATTCTGTGTGACATCCCTTAAAAAAAAGATGTCATGTAAGTTCTCAGTTTTAAGTATTGTAGTTTACGCGAGTAATAGGTTCATTGAAATAAATCGTTTTTGTGTTTATTCTACCATAGCAATATAACCTGCCGTTAAAAAGTAAAATAAGAGATAATATTCTTTTAACTAACAGCCAGTCCCTTTGCCGGACGGCAAATGTGTGTACTAGACTATCTTCTACAAACGTTTAAAGGTGTAAGTTTAAGGTAAGCTAAAGAATAGAAGCTTTAGAATACGTTGTATGTCGCATTTGACAGAATAACTAAGACCGCCTCTTTAGGTTGTTTGAGGAACTTATAATTTTGTATTTCTATAACTATATTACTTAGGTATGTAAGTGCATTTCGATAACGCTATCTACTAACCTTACGGCCACAGGGCAATTATGGACCAGGACACAAGTCCCGTCAGATGTGTGGGGTTGTGGTTTACATCGGTCACCAACTAAAAAAAAGAAAAATCAAAGACTATATTGTCTAAAATTGCAAAAAACTATAGTCGAAAAATATCTACCGCTGCAAACATTATAATTTTAAACGTAGTAAAAGTGTATAAAGCTGTTACATAACAGATTAATTATAATAATTCAAACAATTGATAGTTATATCCAACAATTACATTATAAATGAATTGCAAATTAAGTGAGGACGGGCGGGGTACGGTAGCTCAGAGCACCAACACGAAACGGGTTCGATTCTCTCCGTAACCCCGATTTTCCCAATATGAACGCATACTTACGAGACAAACTAAATGCTACATTAACTATTAAACATAGTAACACTAAAATGCTTAAAGGGAGATGGTACTCCTTTCCTTTATTATATTTTTTCTAATCACGTAACATCAACACCGACGTATCACGTAACTTAAAACTGCGTTGACTCGGTATAAATTCAATGTCGTCGCAGCAACTACGAACGAGAATCACATATTTACGTCTTCCTATTTAATTAGAAACCTGGTTAATAATTCTTAACGTTATAATTTCGTCACTATTAAAAGTCAACAAGTACTACATCTCTAGCCAAGAAACTGTCGTGTACTAAATGATAGGATTAATACCTATATTCTTTAAGTTTGAGGACAATCAATGCCATATACTAACGTCATTTTGATAAACGACTATTTCAAGATGTTTATGTTTTGGTTTATTAAATCTTTATTGATAGCGCTTCGATGTGAATAATAACCAGTCGCGCTCATGTCTATCAGGTAGGTACAGTCAGGAGAAATATTGTCCTAAAAGTAAGACAGGCAACCCTTAAGACCTAAGTATACTTCACGGAATATGTTTTTAAACGCTTTAGAGAAATAAATTACCTAATAACGTTATTGTTTAAACAACGTTTTATAATATTTACGTTTTAAAAACCTAAATTAAATTTGTTTGAACGCGCTAATCTCAGAAACTACTGGTTCGAATTCAAAAATCCTTATTGTATTGGAGAGGGCTTTAGGCTATTAAAATTACGCATGATCGATAGAAGCGTTGAAACAGGTAAAAAATCAAATTCATCGTTAAGGGTTTCGTGTGCTGCAAAAACGGTTCAAGATACCCAAAATATGTATTAAAGATGAAGAACGATGGGAGGTGACCAACGTTGAATGTAACTGCTATAATTTATAAAGTTGAGTTGAGTTTGATGCCCTAAAGTAACTAACTACTCTATGCAAATGTCATATTGTACGGATTGAGACGGCACTTAGTCGCTTTGACCTCCATATTTTTAAATTTACTGCGCCTTATACACGACAGAGTAATAGCATAATAAAACACGGTATAATTTTTTACTTTAAGAAGCTTTAATTTAGGCACCGTTACATTTTTACCTATATATTTTTTACCACTGAGGAAAGGCTGTAAAATTTCCGGTACAAATATTTTCCCTTTGGCCAATTGATGTGTTTCGAACAACGCTATTAACATTCTAGGTATAGCGCAGCCAGTTCCATTTAGTGTGTGAACATATGTCGTTTTATTGACATCACAATATTTTATGTTGAGACGCCTGGACTGATAGTCTGTACAATTACTACAGCTAGATATCTCTCCATAGTTTTGTCTGCCAGGCATCCAAGCTTCAATGTCGTACTTCCTGAAATATTTCAAATTGCTTAGTGAGGCAGTTATATTGCTGATATTTAGTAACGGTGTATATAGAACCACATATCTAATTTTTAAGAATTTCTGTAATTTTCAGGTGTTGATGATCGATAGATTTAAAAAATGTAGCACTCAAACAAACAAAAAACAATATCTCTACTAATTGACTACTGTCATTATACTGTTTTATTGAATTTATCAATTCATTTATTTCCTCATATTTACCCATTCTTCACAATGATGTCCTTTGCGTCAAAAATTCTTACTTAAGTCATTCGATTTTTAATCATAGCACAATTTTGGTTTCGAAAACAAGGTCAAAACATTTAAACATTTAACTAACTTTCAAACTTAAAAGGTAAGCTGTCTATTATTATTTGTACTATTCTCTTAAATATTAAATAGTACAACCATAACTAAACAAGTACCTGTAAGCGGGTGCACCTAATTCATGGGGAGGCATATCTAAAACTCTCATATGTAGTCCCAGAGGTGAAAAGAGTTCCTCTTGTGTTTGCCTAATGTATTCCAACATAGCATCAGACTCCTCAGGTTTAGAAGCGATGAACATTTCTACTTTGGTGAACTGATGTACTCTGCAGAGATATAAAAACTCTTGAATAGCTATTTAAAAATTAAAAGCAACCCGATGTATGTAAGAATATAGAACCAAAATAAAAATTATCCAAATTTAGCAATTATTCAGACTAGCTTTAATTTTACTAGCATTTCATTATACTACTAACATTTATATTATATGCAAAAAATGATAATAACTTCTATTGTTGTCCCCAATAAAATAATAATACTAATTTTGCTTATAATCAGCATTTATATATTATGTATAAGCAAAGTAAGTTAATATATTATTGAGTTTGCTTAATTGAGTATACTAAATACTTGTTAGTTGTGAAAATTTTCTTGTTACTATTTATTTTTTAACAAGAGAGAAGAGTCTTGAGAAAATTAATCTCTCAAACCTATATGTGCCTCTTTCTTCAATAATATTAGATGTTTCTGCCCGATAACAACGACTCACAGAGACCAGTTTTAAAGGCAACTCCTTTACATTGTGTATACTGTTATTTAAAAGACCTGCAAGTGACATTTCGGCTGTGCCAGATAAATATTGGTCTGGTCCATGAAGACTGGGATCCAAAGAATAAATCTGGAATTTTGGAAAGTAATGAATTTGAATATGTACACAACTCCATAGTAGGCATGAAAAAGGGCATTTCAGCTCCACCATACTAATAATTTTCTATTTATACAGAACAATTTAGCTTGAATTAAAAATATTAATGTCCTTTGAATCTAGTAATTCTTGCCAAAACTTACACTAGCTACATGGAATGTAAAATCACATACACATTAACATGACAGCCAGTTCTGTCCTTAAATAGATATACTTAGCTAAATAAATTCATACATACATAATAGGTAAATCAGTAAGTCTTATAACTCACTTGTGTTCTATCCCTGTTAATCATCATGCCACAGCTTCTTATAATGTCACCTGATAATATGTCTGGAACAGATACTAAAGAAAATCCCTTTTCCAGTAAGCATGACACTGTATATTTGATTAATGCTTCCTCATATTCAGCTAAGTCCCCAAAGTAAAAGTAACTTTTGTTATCACAAGTGTAACCGAGTTTATCAGTTCTCATTAAATTCAGTAACTGTGTGATCTCACTGAAATCTAAAGGCTTATGTGATCCAAAATCTTTTCTTGTGTTGATTGTAGAAATGGTTCGAGGATGGTCATTATATTGTTGAACAGTAGGGTGCGTTTTATTTGGTATGCTGGTGAGTTCTTTATAGAAATTGTCTTTTAGACTCACGTAGTTGCTGTCATCAACAGAAGTTTCTTTAAGTTTTTTATATAAGTCATGAACACGATTTATATCACCGACGCCCTTTCTCATTTCAATGTTACATTTTATTTCGGAAATATTATTTCGATTACAATAATATTCCACGTCAATATCAGGAAAATAACACGATGAGTATAACCTTTTAACGAGATTGATTTTTCTAGAGAAAAACGAAGTCATTTTCCATTTATATTTTTGTTAGACCTTTAAGGATTTCTTGATTAGTTTTCAGTTTCAAAAATGTATGGATTGAGAAACTTTACTTTTAATCATTTTTAATAGAGCTATATCACAGATAATAAGCCATACTCGACTTACCATAGGCTATACTAATATTATAAAGAGGAAAGATTTGTATTTTTTGTAACTGTAACTCAAAAAGTACTGGACCGATTTGAATAATTCTTTTTTCATTAGAAAGCTACATTATCACTGAGTAACATAGGCTATATTTAGTACTCGATTACTATACCATCTACTCGATTACGATACTATATCAATACAAATTCTTACTAAAACCAACGAAAGGCGTAAAAAAATTAGCCGTAAAATGTCTTTCTTCGCATACGCTGCGAAAAATATTAATGATAGGACAAAAAAAGTTCGACAATATTATAGAATATATTATTATCTACAAAAAACATCGCGAGAGCATATGGCAGAAGAGTGACTATCTCAAAATTTAACTGTAATACTAAGGTGCGATATATTGTCTATTGTAGTTACGTCGCTATAACTACTTATTTACATTTAACAAATTGATAGAAATGCCGATCAAAATCAGACCGTACCATTTATAATTTTTTTACGAATAAATAATTTAATATTCAAGACTGTCTCAATACCTGATAATTACTTTTTTTAATTATTGAAATCGGACATTCCGTTCAAAAGATATCACGAAGTTAAAATAAAAATACATGCCGGAGGCCGCCTCGCCGCGCTTTTTCGACGAAAGGGGCAGTGGGCTCCTTACGCAGTGGACGCGACCGACATTGAATATTTTGTTTTTTTTTTACATTTTATGGTTTACTTAAAAAGTTCTTTTCAGAGCTACATAGTTTTAGTATTAGGAATCACACTTTGCATAATATTTGTCAAAGTTCTTTTCAGAACTATCGCTTTGAACTTGAATATTTTCTTTTGTATTATTATTAGTTTATTCTTAATTTCCCTGATTTAAAATAAATATCCTTAATAGAAATATGCCTAGAAGAAGGTCGCAGCTATCTAAGAATAGTTCCCAAGCGACATTAGCAAAGTTTGTCGTATTGGAGAGTCTTCTTCCTAAAATGATCATCTGGAAAGTATTATAGTGTACGCGTCACAATTGCAAGCCAGAGAATCTATCGTGAATGTTCAGGTTCGTTTTGCAGAATGCAAAGAAATGCAAGTTCGCCTCAGCGACTTGAAGGAAATAGAGCTAGGAATTCGCAACGCGTGCACGGGACTCAAACACGAACGCTCGCAGCGGCTCCTGACACAGCGTGATAGACTAAGGTCGTTAACAGCTAGGACGCGAAATACACTTTTTTTTCTAATTTAGTGATTCATGGTCGTTTTAATTAGCATGCTTATAATTTTATTATCTGTACTTATTTATTTCTACCCGTGCGAAGCCGGGACAGGGCCGCTAGAGTAATATATAGGTACAGATTATATTTTATCGTTATTTATCCATATAGAGGTTTTCTAAATTAATAGTACAAAATATGTATCCTAGTAAGTAGTACCAGATTTTACACATTATACTGCCAATACTAAGTAAGATGTCAGAAGAAAATGATAAATTAATAAAAAATACCAAAACGCTTAGGGGAAAACTAACTATAAAGAATCTGAATAAAGAAGAATTATTCTGTATTTATGCAAGTAACTAATTAATCGATACGTTCTGAAGAGTTATTATTAATATTTCTTAGAATAAAAAAGTAACGGTTTGTTTAATGTATAACACATATCGTCTTCCGGAACGATTTGGCCATTGTTCGTCGTAAGTTTAAATGTGCATGTTTCATTTTTTTTAACTTACCCATTAAATTATTCTAGTATAATGTATATGTGTAACTGTAGCCACGACCTCGTCTGAGTATAGTTATTTTGGGCATCTAAATTAGTTTTTGCAAACCATCTCATCCTTATAAATTTTAGCTGTTAGCGACGAGATTATCCGCGTCCCGTAGCTTTTGCAAGTTATTATTTCTTAAAAATACACAAACTGTTGTGCAGACATTTTACATTGTTTAAAGAGGAATCATTCTCTCATACATATTTTTAGTTATCTGTTAACCGTTTTAGCAGAGCATGCAGTGGTAACCTTTTACATTTAAATAAAACACGTTAAGGCTTAAAAATTATTTTAACAACAGCCAGACGTTTTGAATACTATGTAGCAGCCACGGTCACGGGGAGACTAGAGTTTAAGAACAAGGAGAACCCGGCCAGTTTCGCCACATACCAACTTCGACAGAACAAATGGAGCTAGCGTAGCAGTTTTCTACTTTGGCGTCAGACTCCACCATTTTAAGTCCAGAGGTTAGCTCGTTCTAATAAACAAACTCATTAACTTCCTCTCTACTCTGGGTGGTGAATAAATAGTTTGGTTTGAGATACAATTAAAACAACCTTTTCTTCAAAGAAAATATTTATTAGAAATTTTTTATACAACTAAAATCAATCGTACCCAAATATTTTCGGAATTCAAGTATGAAATGTGCATAAACATACTATTATATGCATGAAGGTGTCTTAAAAATAATAATGATAAGTGAATGCACGCTTATGCTATAAGTTAAGTAAGAGTCTGGCCCCCCCCCCCCCCGGGCCCCCCGGGCCCCGCCCCCCCCCCCCGGGGGGGGGTTCCCCCCCCCCCCCCCCTCTCCCCCCCCCTTTTCTTTTTGGGGTGGCCCCCCCCCCGCGCGCGGCCGCCCCCCCCCCCCCCCCTGTTCGGGGCGGGGGGGGCCTCCCCCCCCCCCCCCCCCCCCCCCCCCCCCCCCCCCCCCCCCCCCCCCCCCCCCCCCCCCCCCCCCCCCCCCCCCCCCCCCCCCCCTTCCCCCCCTAAGTAGGGCCAACGTGTATATAGGACGATTATATATATTTTTAACCATTACAGCTATCTTAAATTTTTACCTTAATTGTATCAATCAATTACGTACTAAAAATTTGACTTAGTAGAAAGTATTACCAATAACTAAACTTAATATCGAATCTGCTGAAAACAAAACAAAACTCTACGAATTAACTTAATTAACTAACTTAAACTCTACGAATTAACTTAATTAACTAACTTAACTTTTTCTAGGACGTATGACTAGACACAGAAGTCTGATCAACTCCTTGCCTGTTTTTTTATTTAAATAAAACACTTAAATTTTTAAAACGCGATATATATTAGTTATATATATTTTTGGAGATTATTTTTACTGCGGCTCGACGTTTCGAATGCCTTGCAGCAGCTCTGACCAGGGCAATATATATCGCGTTTTATATCGGTAAAGTGTTTTATTCAATTGAATAAAACTACAACTGACATAATTCTCAATAATATACGTCATTTCTAGCTCTTAATATTTTTATGAATCTGATAAACTGAGTAACATAGCCATGAAGGAAATTTAAAATCTTAGTTCAATGCATAATTTAGAATATTGTTTTCGTTTGAATAAGCAGGAAAACTTGAGCCATCCATTTCGCCGTCATGCGTATTGTCCGACAGGAGTACATGGCTTCTGCCTCCTATCTTAGCTCCACAATCTGGGCACGTCCCGATCTCCATAGCCCCACCACATTCGCCAATGCAATAGTGATGTCCGTTCGGACATTTAAACCAACGTCCGGCTTTCAAGCCGATAGCTTGAACGATCATGTTTTTTTCTTCTCTTGAGAGGACACTTGTAGCCTTGAGCTCTTCCTGGAGTAATTTTAAACTATCCATACCATTTTCCAAGTTGAACCTATTGTATCCTAAGATAGCTTTTCTGGCGTCATCGTAATAATCATTTGCGACGGACGGTTTATTCCTTAAAGAAGCAAAACCTGATTCCCTCAATAATTTTGAAAACTGAAGTGTCACGTGCATACGATTTAATTCGCTTTGGATATCTTTTTGTTGTTGATAGCTAATTTTCCTCACGTTTCGCGCTAGGTGTTCACTTAATGTCGTGATAATGTTGTTAAATTCCTTTTTCAGAATGTCAGTTTTTAAGATATTGTATTGTTCATACTTTTCTGAAAGGAGCTCTAAAACGTTCAAGTATATTACATTCATTTCTATTGTTATTAGGGAAGTAGTTCTATTTTTGGTTACATGCTTTTCCAAAACACGAAATGCCTTCATCCAGCTGCTCGACTCTGTTGAAAGAAAATATTTTTGGTTAGGCAGTGGTTACTGGTCTCCTGAACACGCCGTGCGTCGCATACAGCTACGACGCTTAATATTATAGAAATAAATATTGTTGTCTTCACACGGCATCAACGGCTGAAATCTTAAAACCGTCTTTTGAATGTTTTCATTGTAAAGACTAAGTTGGTGCAAGAACTGTTTGTCGTTGTTGTGAACGAGACGTGATATTGTGATATGATATGTACTGACTACTGGCCTACAGGATCTATTGCCACTCGTACTAAATACGTTTCCGTACATGACATAATTCCTTACGCGGCCTAAAATAAAGTTTTGTTGTGACTTATGTCATTAGTTGATTGGCCAAAGAATGCCTAATTATCAAAGATTAGTTTTGGCGACTACTTATCTGCCGAAGCCTAATAGGTTCGTCAAAGAATATCAATGAATTTAATACTCACCCACTGCAATAGACTTGTGTTCTTCAAGGAATGTTGCCAGTTTTGTTACCAGGTCATCCTGCTTTACCTTGATTTGCTTGAACGTTCCGTAACATTTTTTCTTAATTGGATTTATGTCGTTTTTAAATATCTCGTTTATTTGATCCTTATAGCGATAGCTCTTTAATATTGGCTTTCGACACTTTGGACAGGACTTTATACCTATTATCTCAGATTTGCTAGACATCCACGAATCTAATTCTTCAACATCAAAAATATGCAAACATTCTTCCACTAAAATTAGCCTGTAACAATGTTTAGGTATTGAGCCTGGTTTATGAATAAAGGCGGCTGGGCTGACTGGCCGACGTGAATACGGACGGATACTTCGAAAACCTTAATAGGTTTAAACATAGGCGCAAAAGTTAATATTGTTGTGTCTGAAAAACGAAGACACAACTCCTAGAAAACTAAACAATAAACGCGTGATAGGTAAACGAAATTCCGTCTGGGACCAAAAACCTCAAACCACTACATAAAAAAAGCCGTGAAGTTGCGATGCAGTTACTGTTTAGAGATTCCCAAATGTGTCAAAACAGGCTGGGACATTAAAATTACTCAGCTGTTACTAAGCTGGGACATTTCTCCCTCGACTTAGTTACTTGTCTTTCATAAAAAAACTTTGCGTCTTTAACGTACTTTGCGTCATCATCGTAGTCTTCGCCTAGGAAGTCCTTAGGGAACTCGTCAGGTTTGCAAACCTTGCAAACTCCTGGACAGGGGTGACCACAGAGGCCCCGGCACGGATGTCCGCAAGCCTGTATTAATGGACAAGGCTCGGAGCAGGGAGGTACCGAACACGGATCGCTACATAGCTTGTTACACTGTGCATGCATACACCGACGAACGCATTCCTCCTGAAACAGGGGTGTTTGAGGTTTGCCATTGTTTGTTTATATTTCTAAAGTTTTTATTGTATCGCTTGGATTTTTTGTGTACCCAAAAATAACTTGACTTTGTTTTGAAGAAGCGCATTGTCCAGATAAAATTGGATATATCGAACGACTCAAGTCTTAATGATTTAAGTTTATATTAAAGCTTTATGTTTGTTCGTTTGTTATGTTTCCTTAAAAGCTTAATAAATATAATAATTATTATTGGAGGCTTATATGAGTATAAGCCATTATAAAAAATTGAATTTTGTACGGTTGCCAATTCTTTCTTTATCTACCGAAGTCCTAGTCTAGTCCCACATGCTGTGCTAGGTGTTACGCCACTGCATGCGAGACGAGAAGCAGAAATTACCCAGGCCCTTTAACTAATCGGTATTATACGTAGACAAATAGGAGATTAGTACCTTATCTGACCGAAACAATTTTCATTGTTTGCAGATATTTAAACACCGTAAGCTCTGCCTACGGTTCAAACGTTTAGCCGTTTAATCACAGAGAGCTGATGTAATCTATTGCAATTCATACGACTTAATCAGCTTAGTTTCATACATTACCTTGCACGCAACACATGGTTTTCCGCACTGGTTTTTGCACTTTGAATGAGGACAACTTACTTCACAAGGTCTGTTGCAGGGTGGACAAATCATATTACATGGTTCCATACACCTGCCACAGACAAAGCAAATACATACACAATAATCCCACAAGGAAAGGATTATTAACCCTACTTCTTTAAATGTTTAATAGATAAATATTAAAGTATAAATAAACTTTACCAGTGTCCACAGATTATTTCTTTTTCACATTTCGAACTGCAAGGTTCATGTAGTCGGCCTTGCCAGCATTTTGAACAAGATCCTTTGCAAGGATGGTCACACCCCAACATGGTGTCACAAGGTTTGTTACATAATTTTAAAATAGCTTCATCTTCAATTGTAATACCTAGACAACGAATAAATCTTAATGTTTAACCATTATTATTTCTCACGTTATTGCACATGATAGCTTCAAATAAATACAGAATCTATTTAGGTAAAAATAAAAATGTACATACTAATGGAACAATTCAAAACGCAATACCGGAAAAATGGAAGCTTACCATTTTCCCATAGATCCGCTAAACCACAAGTTAAAGTCACGATATGGCCACAGGGTCCTTTTACGTCACGACTGGATAATACGTTACAAGTTTGCGATACGCAAGGTTCTCCACATTTTTTGGGGCACGGGTGTCCACATTTTAGTAAAAGTTTGCACTTTTCCGTACACCTTTCCTTAGTTGTGTCCGCAGAACAAGGTACTTGGACAAGATGACCACAATCAAGCGGTTTCCTTACCTATAATAGATACAAATAAAGAGCGATTGACGTCCTCAAACATAAAATTTTTAGGTCATCCGCCTTATATCACTTGTATTTTGACACACGATCGGAACTTTGGTACCGTCATTAGCTTGAATACCACAAATGTTTATATCATATGGTCGGTACCACTAAAGAAACGTCGTTTTCGTCAATAATTTGGGATACATTTAAATTATATATGTTTATAATAAGCTTGAAAACATTGTGTTTCATTTAGCGCAAAGTACCTATACGAGTTATATAAAAACTAAATTAGAGACAGGCCGGGTTTTTTTAATCCACAACCGAGCGCGTATCGATACACTAATCCATAAATTAAGTTACAGCATTTGTTTCAAATTTGATTGACAAATGTGTAACTAAATTCAATTAAATTAAATTAATCCCAATGATGGGTACTCACAAGTTGCTTACATCCGCCGCATGGTTCATGACATTTCATCTTACAGTGGTGGTTGCATGGCAATAAACGGGCACAATTGTTCATGCATGGTGTGGCATCGACATCAACATTGCATGGAATGCGTGCACTATGCGTGCAACTTTTCCTTTTCTTCGTCACCTTAACAAAACATACAAATATATTCAGCATCAACTCACATTAATAATAATAAACCAGAATGTCCAGCGACCTCTGAGTTACACCTAATATGTATACCTCCACTTTACACTCGTCACAAGATTCGTAGCATTTCTTTTGACATTTGTGATCCTGATTTCCTTCCTCGGACGCAAAAGTGCAGCCCTTTTTCAATTTTGCGCATTGCTTTTCGCATGTAAACTGGAATAACATTTTAAAATATATTGCAATGTTAAGAGTACATATAAAATTACTAGAACATGATTCATAAGTAATACTGATATTTTTTAATGAAAATACGTAGGTCGAACAAACGCTGCCATCCTCTATTGCTTAAGAAGTGCCTATAGGTACACCCATTACATATATTTAGTACTAGCTGAGCCACCGACTTCGTTCGCGTAGAATAGGGTAGTACCGTAGTATATTTCAGGCATCCAAATTCGTTTTTACCTACGACGTCGGTCGCGTCACTTCCCGTCGTTCTTGCAAGATAATCTTAAGAGATAGACATATAGCGTCGAGGACTTTTTTAGATCATTTATAGAGAAATAATTCTGTCATATATATTTTTTGGGTATCTTGAACCGTTTTTGCAGCGTACGCCTCGGAAACCCATAATGATGAATAATTCTCCCAATTTTCTTTAAATATCTCGCTGTATCTTCGCTCGATAAATGCTTTAACCAACACAAATTTTTCAATTCGAACCCGTAGTTCCTGAGATTAGCGCGTTCAAACAAACAAACTCTTCAGCTTTATATATTAGTATAGATATAGATTTAGGAGTTGGAAATTGGACTAAAAACGCAATATTTGACAGGTAAGTGGTAGCAATGCATCGCTAATTAAGGGGTTGTGTGTTTTTTTTTCGTTTAAACTTGAACTACACTAACTAAAAGAAATATCGACAATATTCTATAAATATCGAAATCCCTTCCACGCCCAAAATCTGGCGTGTGACGATGAATCTGTTTATAATGTATTTTTTACCTCTTCATGTTCTCGATCATTGGCGTGGCAGGTGCGTGTGCATCCGTGCCCGCATTGTAAACGTGCTTCACAAGGTATCGGGCACAGAACGCTAGTAATATTTACATAGCATGCTTTTTGAGCCTGAAAGAAAACCATTTCATAGAAAAAATAGTATAAACAAAACGGTTTAAAATGCAAAATATGTTATTAATTGATGCTGAAACGCCGAGAACCTTTTTTCATTTGACGGCCGAACAGCTTGTAAACCCAAACTTTGCGAAATATATTAGTAGATCTTTAATAGGAATGAGATGAGTTACCTCATGTCCACAATGGGGCAGTTTCACAGTGATAGTCACTAAGCATTTCACTTGATTTGGTTCCATGAAACACATTGCATCTTGGTTATGGCCGCAGGGCAAACATTTGTTTACTATGACTTTACATTGATCGCATTTGACTGCACAGTTTAAAGGGCATACGTGATTTAAATCGCAAAGGATCCTGAAAATGAAGCTTGTTTTAGATTGAGGTCAATTCTTCTAATTTGTTTATTTACTTCGACGATTACGTCCATTGATCTAGTATGATAAGAACCCAAAATAAAAACTGGATACATGAAATATAAACGAGCTTATAGGAATAGTATGTCTAGTATTTGGCGCACAATCACAACAAACGCCGGGCTAGCTACAAAATATTATTTAAATAAAACGTTAAAATGATTTATTTAAATGTGTACTACATGCGTATGCGTAAAGTAGACAGTATTTAACGAAATATTAATATCTGATTCAATTCTCTTCTTCTTTTGAGTTCTTTGATGGAGGAAGAAGTCACAAGGAAACTTATAGCATATACAATGATTCTAGTTTAAAATTAAAACCCGAGGCTTCAGTCCGAATGCCGATGAGAATCCGGCGGAGCTTTTGCGAACAAGTGTACATTCGGGTACAACAAGCTTCAATAGAGAATTCAAAAAGATTTCAATTTTAAAGATTCTTGAATATGTATCGTTAGAAATAGTACGTACATACGTATAAGTGTACGTTATATATATATATAATGTTTACAATACATTAAGTACGGTCGCTTTCACCTTTGAACGCAAAAACTCTACATTGCATTTCCCTAATTTTTCGGTTACTTTTCCTTTACTTAGTTCAGTAATGTCTTCACAGTAGTATCTTCGTCGGAATCAATTTTCACATTTAGGGCGTCAGATTGCGCGGCGTCAACGATGTGCGGACGCTCAAGACGCGAATAACTCTAGTTTGGAAGATCTCTCTAAGACGCTCATGAGGTGGAATTAGATGATGGTTACCTTTCACATTTTTCGATGCATTGTATCTTTTCATGATTCCTATCATAACTGTGACAAACCAAAGGGCAGGTGTGCGAGCAACTTAAGTTTAAGTTGCATTTTTGCAGACAACCTCCTTCAGGTACTTTATCGAAGTCTTCATCTGAAGTAATCTGTAATCGCATGGCAATTGGCTTGTTATTGACAATTTATTACTGAAGCAACTGACTTTGTATATATCAATTATTGTTTGAACGATTTCCCTAATGACAAGGCTACCTGGTAGTAAGATGAATTGCTCAATAAGTTAATACATTCACAAAAATTTATAAGTTTATAGGCGTGTCCTGTAAAAGCCGGACTGAGTTTTTTGGGTGTTCATCTTGTTCATGGTAGGTTGTGTCATGGTTAGGTCATGTTCCTCTTCGGAACACTCTGAGAGTCACGACGGACAGACAGACAAGCATTTTTCTTTTTTTTTTGACGAATCTAAATAATTTTAAAGATAATAAAGTTTTTTTTTTCAATATATCTATAACGTACACTTGTTACTTGCTCTGGGTGAAAGCTACATTTTAGTTTCAGCTTTTCACCAACTGAATTCTTCTCTTCTAAAGTTTCACAAATATTTTCCCACAACTTAGACTGCCTCTTCAGCATATTTATATTTCCGAATATGTAGAAACCTACGAACACAATGGAAAATCAATCTCAAATTATTTTAAATCCATATCACTCGTATTATATTCATATGCATAGTCAAATATATATACTTGTAAATGAAATAAGTACGGAAATAATTATTATCATTCATTTTCAAATTTATGCCTTATGTACGGAAATATAGCTTGTTGTTTTACTTGCGCATAATATATTTCAAATCAATAACGAATATTCAACTTATTAAAATCTGTTTTCATATCACCACAATTTATATAAAGATTTGTTCCTTCCTAAACACGCCCACCGATATCTTCCTGATGCGTAATTTCTGTACTTTAAAGAATAGATGATATTAAACAAACAATAAAAACGAGTATACCTTCCTTAGCCCTAGATAGGGCAACACAAATTCTGTTAGCGTTGCCTAAAAAGCCAATTTTATTATCCAAATTGTTTCTAACGAGAGAAAGTATTATGATTTTGGATTCTTCGCCTTGATAATTATCAACAACCGTTATATTGACATCTCTAAGGTGTAGGTAGCTCTGTTTGCCCTAAAATCATTATTATCATTGAATGATAGATTTCGGTACATATATTAAAAGCAATTTGCCATCCGAAGATGTAATATACCTATGAAATAAGTCTTTAAGAGCTTTTAAACGGATTAGTTTAAATTAAGGCCTTGATCAAATATAAAGTGAGTAAAAAGTCGTACCTTCTTCAAATAAAACATTTGTGCAGTGTACGCACTCAGTATAGTAACATCCTGTGGTTGGTAACCCTGTTGCAAAATATAGTTGGCAAATCTTAGGATGATGTCCGCTTCTTTACTGTTGAATTTACTTGTACTATCACCAGAGATCTAAAAATAATATTTTTATATACATTATTAAATCTAAAACTTGTAGCCATCCACAAGATACTGGAAGTTTTGTGACGTCGCATTTCTTTAATACTGTAAACTTACTACATGTTAAATTACAAAATATGACGTCACTCTGGGTGGAGACATATTACAAATTCGCTCCGTGTTAAAAGAAAAATGCCCTTAGAGAATCTGTAAATGTTATTATGTATTATAAATTTTTAAGGTAATGGTAATCTCTTTCGGCCTTGATTACCTCTTCAGGATGTTCGTGTGTGAAGAAAAAGACATTCTTAGTTACTCCACGGACGTTTGCATACGTTTCAACTGAAGGATGATTTTCCAAATCAGGGTAAATATGTGGAGATATTAGAGCGGCAATTTCCGGACGCATCCGATGTTGAACGGAGAGGCGGCGACTGTGTATGTTGTTGTTGATCAAACGCTCAAACAGGGACACTTCGATATTATAATTCTTGGCTAATTCCATATGCGCCGCCGAAGGTCGCAACTGTTGGTGATCCCCTGTAATTATTCGGATTATGTAGGTAAGTGAATTATAATATGTGAATTTGCAAGTTGCTCCAGCGACGCCAGAAAAAACAAACAGTTTACGCTAAACGTGGCTAACGTCGTGTCGCCAGACGAAGCGAGCAGCTTACTAAAGGCGATATTGACTACCACCACGACGCCAGTGGTTTATCAAAAATATATAAAGATGAAGAGGAAGAAGGTTTGTAAAAACAAAATTTGACGTCCATGTAATTGTTTTAAACGGATGTCGCGGACACAGCTAGTATTATATATTAACTTATATACAAACCGATAAGTATAAGATGTTGACAATGCTTCTGAAGTGAAGCTATTATGTGCTGCTCCAGCACTTCAGCAGCTTCTTCAACGATTACTGAAAAAAATAACCTTCTTTAATATTATGTATAATAGAAATCCAATATATGATTTTAAATAAAATGTATATATTGAAGAAAGAAAAGGAGACATTCTTTATATTATAATGCAAATGTTTTCAAATGTGCTCGCTAATTAATGTGGCATGAGCTAACATTAAATGTTGTTAAATAACTGCACATAAGACACGGACGACTTCGTTGGATAGCAGCTATAATTTTAAAATCTAAGGAGGTTGTTTGCAAAATTAAATAATATTATGATGCCCAAAATAAGTATTCCACTCGGACAAAGTCGCTTTACTTTTTTTACAAAAACTAATTATTATACAAAAATGTGTTCAATATCAAACTGTTGTAGTCCAATAAGATTCTATGACAAAGGGTAAAAGTATTAGAGCTTATGACTTCTTGTGTCGTATACGAAAGTCCCTAAGTGACTTACGTCACATTGCACATTGGGAATCGACAACCATATCATGGCTATTCTGGTAAACTTCTGGGCCGCTTTAAATGCGAAAACAGTTTATCGAATTCTGAACAAATTATCTCACAAGTCACGTTTGTTTTATAAAAAAAATCCTACCAATTGGCGGGGCCAACTCCTTGATAAACTTTCGTATCCTTGCCGCACAAGTGGTAGTCATACCAACCACACGTTTATTTTGTATAAGGCTTAAATCGTGCAACATTCGAGCTTCCTCATACGCGGTATTGGCTGTCGTGGCTTCTTCCTGTTTTATAATATTTCGATGTTATCTTATTATGTTTATTTTAAAGCTGTAGATATTACATCCAATATTTACGAATAAATACAATGAAATAAAACACTTTAACGGTTTAAAACGCGATATATTAGTTAAACTTATTTTCGAACTTTGTTTGCATTTTCCAGCCCGTACTGGTTAATTAAATACTGTCTATAGTTTACGCGAGTAGTACACATTTAAATAAAACACTTTAACGGTTTAAAACGCGATGTATTAGTTAAACTTATTTAAATATTGTAAGTGTAATAATAAGTAATAAGTTTAACTAATATATCGCGTTTTAAACCGTTAAAGTGTTTTATTTAAATGTGTACTACTCGCGTAAACTATAGACAGTATTTAATACAGCATTATTCAGCTATAATGCATATAAACATGTAACAAAATGTATGTTTACCTGCAGCACTTTAACATTTTTTAACAACTCATCTTTTAAGATATCAATCCATCTAAAATATAACTTCCAACGACTATAGATAGACATTCTTGTTGGATCCCTTGAGTATTGACAGTTAGTTTTGTCTTCATCGTTATTCCAGCGGGTCCTCATTTCCTTAAACAAAATATCGCTCATCAAATCTGGATTAAAGTCGAACCTTGATTAGTCATCACTCTGAGACAGTTCCGTGACCCTACTATAAGTAATTTCCAAGCAAACTGATTTGAGATTAGGTACCTTAAGTGTACCTGTGTGTAACTTAAACAATCGAATGTATAAAATTTAACTATCATAACCTTCAGTTAACGAAATCATCCAACATTTAAATAAATCAACTTTTAAACGCCGAATCTACTACGCTAGTTAGTATTCAAAGAAACCAGATATTGTACATCATTTGATATTATATTCATACAGTTAAGTGTTTTGTTAAAATGGGCGTAAACTGCAGCTAATCAATGTGTTATCCTAAGGTCTTAATTTTAATGACAGTACAAAAGACTCACTTTATAAATGGTAATCTTCGTTTCTAAAACAATTACGTTGTCGCGAATCGTATTAATTTCATATAGTTTTTGTTTTTTGTTTATATCATCGTGTAGTCTTAATAGATTCGCATAACATTTATTGATGGTAAAATCACAAATGTCAGTCAAATCTTCGATTTTTATATCTGTGTCTTCGTCGTCAATGCTTCGGTCGTAGTCGTCCTTCTCAACCTTCTTCTCCTCAGTTTCACTCAACTTCTGTTTTATGTAGTCTAAGGAAATGGTGAATGGTTTATCCCAATCATAGGTCACATTTTCGAATAACCACTGTTCTAAAACTCCACAATTTTTATTAGTGTCATAGCGCTTTTCAATGTTTTGACACATTTCGCGGCTAATTTTGACTAGTTTTAGTATATGAAACTTCACGATCCCCTGTTCTAGACAAAAAATATTATGTTGCAATTGTTTTAATGAACGTACTTTATCTTTTAGTTCGTTCCTTTTCGTATAATACATGTGTTTAGTAGAGTTCGATTCACTGTTACTTCGAATCCAGTTCAGGTTGAGCTGTTTCATCTTCTCCATACGCGACCTTCCACCGATGCGTACAATTGAATGAGTTTCCTTTAAAATACCTTCTAAAAACTGGTCCAGAGCGTGATTTGTGTAACAAATAATAAGCAATAAACATCCCCTCGTTTTAAGAGTTTTTAATAATGTTTCTGCTACTTTAACACCTAGATACGTTTTTCCTGTGCCTGGTGGCCCCTGAATGACTGCAAGTTCATGTGTTAAAGCTAATTTAAAAGCTTCGAATTGACTTTCATTAAAACATGTCTCAGAAGACGCCAATATCGTATTAAGGTAATCTTCTCTGCCTTCAAAATGTTTCGGAACTTTAGAAGTAGGCTGAAATTCACAAAGATGTTCTATACATCATATTCTCGTAATAACTACCCCGATATCTGTATTGTCTATACAGTAATTTATATAATGGACTAAAAGAAATCGTTCGTACTTTTCATAATACATATTGTTACGAAATTTTATGAAAGACTAACTACAAGGATCTGTCGGTTTTGATCATTAAAATGAGCGACACACAGGCTTTGTCTTTGTAATCCAAAGGCAGTGAGAGAAAATGATTTTAAATTGTAAAAAGATAAAAGCTACAATGATAACTAATAATCTTTCTCGATTATTATGTACCTTAATTGTATCTTACCTGAACGTCAACTAAATACTTTTTCATTGGTAAATCTGCAGCAAATGTGGGATCCTTTAGTACTTTTAAAACATGATGATAAGGTTCAAAGTAAACGTCACTCTCAATCATTATGTATTTTTCTTTATTGTCAAAATCAAGTTCCGTATTCGAATGTACAATAGCAACAGGGATCTAAACAGAAATACATACATATATGCTTTTAATACCTCAAAACAAAGGTAAGTCAACTATCATATTTATAAACGATGGTTAATGTCAGTATAAAAAAGATAATTTAGCTTATGACGATGTGGTAGTATGTAATAAGGTACTATGACAAATTTTGGTTTGAAAAATCATCAATTCATTCTTAAACTTTTAGGCTGAATTAGTATAAAAGAAACAGACAAGCATTTCTTTTCAGGGTAGGGGGCTAAATTCGCACGCCATCAGAAATAAGAATCATTAATAAATTAGGGCTTGTGAAACTGATCAGACGTTTGAAGAACACAAATAACATGATTTACCTTTCCTTGCCGAAGATACGTAGGTTCCCGATCCAACACGGTTGCCACAATAAAGTTTTGACAATTATCTTTAGACAAGAGGATTAATGCACCAAACAAAAATCGTTTGTTATAGACCCAATTCACTTTTTTGAAGGCATTCGACGTCTTGGCATCGACCTGAACGATGGTACCAAATGCGGTAGATGATACATAGGGCTCGGCAAAGGTAACGTTCCGAAATAATCTACAAGTGAACATAAGTGTGAAGTGATAAACGTTAAATAGACCGATAGTGTATACTAAATGTCAAAAGGAATTACCTTATGTTGTCGTATTTTTTTCTTGTCGAATCATTAATGTATTGCACTGCAAAAAAAAAAATCTTCAGTTTTTAACGTTGATATTATATAGTAAAACTAACCGATCACCGACTGCACATTGGTGAATACAAAATATTAGGAGGCCTTGAGGCAATAGCCAAAAGTTCTTGGAAATGTTGATCTCATAAAAGTAATAGTGAGCACTACTACTTTAGTGTTTGGTTATGCTAGTTTAAAAAATTACGCCGATCTCTAATGGGCGTTTTTAGTCGCGCCACTCGCCCTGCCACGCCCAGAATACGGACGAACATTAGCTTAAACTGAATTTCATTCATTTTTTCATGTTTGCATTACAACAGATAACGCATTTCATATCTTGATTTTCTTATTTTATTTATTTGTAAAAATACAATGAATTATAGCTTAACTTTAGATTTAACTGAGCTGGCTGCATTATTTGATTAGTTGTCCAATTAGTTTATAAGACTACATAAAAGGTTACTTATACTCGACAACGGTAATGAGTTCTTTCTTTGCAAACAGACGAAGTCGGAGGTACACCTAGTATATACGATCAACGTCATGAACTCACAAATGTAACGGTTGCTCTTCGAGCTCGAACACAAGCTGCGCTTAAAACATTCCTAAGGTTTTATTGCTAACAAATAATAAAAACCATACTATATCATGATGATATGCTGAACGAAAGCCTTACACAATTTATTAAAAAAATATATGTATATTTAAAATTACGCAGGAATGTTAAGGGTTAAAACGCAAGGAATATTTTGAAAAACGTCATGATACTTTTTCGGCGAAAGTTTATTATTTTGTTGCTTTTTTAAATTGGTGTAGATTAAATAAACATTTGGTATACTTACTTATTCCGTCGCGAATTGGGCCAAAACAATCTTCTCTGAGCAATCTAAACTGAACATCCAAATAGTGCTCTACATCACTGTATGCTCCATTCACGATGTTTGGCCGGAGAAAAGGTGTTCTGACTGTCATATCTTCTTCCGTTGGAAATATTGGTAAATCTCGGAATGACGTGGTTGGTTCGCCATATTCAATAATTTCTCCGGCTGTTACATTCTCCTTAAACACATTTTTTATTTTAATGTATTATGTACTTACCCTATGTAGTATATAGAACAAATTTATAAGTTACTTATCTAAGTTATTTTTTAATCTACAAAAAACACAACTACCCTTAGTAAAACAGGCTATATTTTTCGTTAGAAAAGTATTGGGATCTCTACTGAAACTATAGTAAAGTGGCTAAAGATATTATATTTGATAGATTTTTTTTTCATTACATGCACTGCGGCAACTATTGTCAGCATAACGAAAATAATTTCTACAATTTTAAAGAAAAATGTTTTTCTATAATTTTATATATTATAATTAACTCCAAAAACAAAAACTAACTAATACCTGATATGTAGTGTCAATATTTTATATTAATAGCACACTTTTATTTTACCTTTTTTAATGTTTGGGCTTGTTCATACTCAGTTACATATTGTCTCAATTTTTCAAGTCTTAATTGATCTTCATCAGGCAACTCAAAAGTATGGTTTTCCTTTAGCAAATAAATACAACATTTCGAAGTACCCTCTATTAGCACTCTGCATCTACTCATGGCTGTAGATGGTGAAATTTTAAAAATTGATTCTAGGAATGTAATTAAATTATCCCAAAATTTCGTTTGGTTGTTCCAATACAGAGAGTTTTCTTCTCTGTTCCGAGAAAAGGGTAATTCCATAATATAGTTGTTTAAATTCTTTGTGAAATTGGTATTACATACGGCAAGGAGAAATTGTAATTTTAATTCATCGAAATCACTATCACACACTTTACTTGTTAAAGACAAGATCAAGTAATAAATGTTTGGATTTTCGAAGCAGCCTTGCAACATTTCAATGAAACGATTTTGGTTGTTGTTGAACTGTATTAATATTTCGTTTTTATTCTGTTCTGCGAGTCTTTGCAAAAATAAAAATCCAACATGTCGAGATTTTTCGACAGTATTATTTGCTTTTCTCCCTCTGTTATGTATGGTATTCTGTCTATTATTATTGTTCCTATTTCTCTCCATTTCCGGATTTACTGAAAGAAAGTTATATAAATCTATTTAGATTGAAAAAAAAAAAACGATACATGCGGGACTTGAGCCCTGTCCACAGCGTTTCCTGCTACTGCTCTAAGCCATTGAGCTCGATATGTATAGACTCAATGCAGTTTGATTTCGCAATTTGAATATTATTAAAAAGACTACTAGTAATAAAATCTGATTTTTACCTCGACGTCGACCTCTCCAAGAGTTCCCGGTGTTTCGGGACGTTCCTAGAAATAAATAGTAGTTAAAGTACTAGATTTAAGAAATACAATAGAACCCGTTTAACACGATCGCGCTTAATAATTTCACGCATAATACGCCGCTTAACGCCAGTCCCTAATAGCTAAAGATTTTTTTTCACACATTTCTTAACGCCTAATACCTCATCTAGTTTAATCCGGACCGAGCCGAGAAAAATAAAGATATTGAAGTTTTATATATAACATCAGGAACAAAAAATAAAATTCAGTTAACAGCCAAACTTCATTTCCAAGTTTTATATTACATACAACGTTAAAAGATGGAGAAGAAAATAAAATACAGATTGGTAGATGTGCAGAGAAAATAAAAAAGTACGATAAATTGACAAACATTTTAGTGAAATGGCTTCTAAGCACAACTTTTCAAACTGACCATGAGTGTCCCATATATATGACACAAGGGAGAAAGCGCGTAAAAAATCATCAAAATCTTTTGTTAAACCAAAATACTTAAGTGATTATTTTAAATAACGCTATTATTAATTATACTACGTATTTAATATAATTTAATACCTAAACATGCAAAAATTAGAGCATAACACATTATAATATGTACGTTTTAATTTTCCTAAGCCGCACAATTCACTTTCTCGTTTAAGAGGCATTATTTATAGTTTAGTATAGCGAGGTGCGCTCTTACCCTCCTTAACATCCTAAGGAACATTTCTGCGCAGCGTTTCGCGCTAAGTTCAGACTTGCCAAGTTACGTCGGCGGTATTATAAAATGGAATATAGAGACTAAGCCTGACGAAGCAACATTAACTTTGCAATGGTTCATAATTAGCAAGTGTTTAATCGATGCATCTAAAAGTTCATAAATAATCATACATAATTAACACATTGATGTCTATTCACATTATATGCCGACCAAGTAAAAACGCCTGAACCGAATTTGACAAAATTCCTAATTGAACTATATACGTATAATGTTTTTTAATGCTACATTCCACAGTATCACTTACCAGGATGTTTATCCATTTCGTCCACAAGAGATGACGTGTGATAACTGAAAGAAAATATGCAATGTAACATAAACATAAACATTTGGATAAAGCACTTTTATAGTTTAAAACGCGATATAGGTATATTAATTAATCTAATTTGAAAATTATTTTAACTACGACCCGACGGTTCGGTCTTCCCATGACCACGACTGCAAAGCATCCGAAACCGCAATAAATTGTGTTAGGCTTTCACGGCCATCGTTCAGCATATTATTGTTTTTCGGGCTATTCAGCCGACATTTCGCCATCACGAGCGGACATCATAATCACATGTTAATTACTCGATCAATCGAGGAGCTAATTTATTATATATCGCATTTTAATCCGTCAAAGATTTTCATTTAAATATGTACTACTCCTAAACTACACACTCTTTAATTAAAGAACAAATAGCGCTGCTTAATAAAGAGCCGTCGGCTATACGGACAACCTTGATCTTGCTGAGGGCATAGTCACAGGCCACGTGTCGCACCGGTCTCAGCTTGGCCCATTCCAGTCTGGGTTCGGGCTTGAAGAGATGTTACTTAACTAAATACCTATGGGTATTGCTCATACATACAGCAAAAAACACTTTAAAACAACGTGCGTTATTTGACGTATTTGATAACTGGCTGTGCCCTCGACTTCGTCCACGTGGAATAGTGAGTTTGGGTAGAATTTTTAATTATTTAGGCTGTTTATTTATTTATAAAGGGGCGCATTTAAGGCAGCCAATCGGAGTGGTAAGTGCTACTTTGCCGCAACACTACCACACATCACACTTACTCTAACTCCCACTCTCATTCCTACACTCACTCCTACTCCCACTCTTATTCCCAAAAAGCCAAGGAGAATGTTTCATTGTTCTAGCTCCAAAAATCACAAATTTCCATACAAACTCTCATCCCCCTTTTGAACCCCTAACAACCCTTTTTTGGCATTAAAGTCTCTGTCCATTCTTAGGCTCTAAAATATCGGTGTACCAAATTTCATTTAAATCGGTTCAGTAGTTTCGGAGTTAAAGCCGGACAGGCGGACAGGCAGACAGACAGAGTTATTTTCGCATTTATCATTTTAGTATAAATTATGATTGCTAGCCTTTTGTAGAACTAAACAGGGCAGTGGCACTTGCATTCGTCTTGCACATTCTAACTGTTGTTACTTTACTATACGATTACGATATTATGTCGCGTGGAGAAGCGTACTATTAGACTCTAACATTGAGTTTTGCGACGGTGATTGATATCACTACCATTGATTCATTTCTTTATTACTGACCTTTTTGAAATCGTATTTACAAATAATCTTTTCTACTAACTAGGCTTACCTATATACTAAACCTACTTAGCGCTGTCACTACTGTCAGTAAATTTTAGATCGCTTGCTTATACATTACAATAAACCAAATGAATCTAGATGTTACAGCAATATCACTAATTCGCCATAATACTGAAATATCGGAACATAAAAGCTTGATTGGAACACCGGTACCTGTGAGATGGATGGCAGCGAATATAAATTTAGGCCCCTGGTTAACAGTTTAGAGCACCGAACTGTACAGGAGCAACACTGTATAGGTATCCCTATTATCAGAATGAGAGAAACTCGAACTGTTGTTTATCTGACGCGTTTCCGTTGCGATAGCAGAAATTAATTTGTAGCTGTGATGATCACTGTATTTTTTTTATTAAGATTAACTTGCCTTATAATACACTTGACATGTTTTTAGAGCTGCTGCATAACGGACTTGTACCTTCACAACACAACACACAACCAATATTATAGAATAACTGTTTTAAATAATAGAAAAGCAAGAAAATACAGTATGCTGATGTAATGGTATGAAACCTATTAATTTACACATATTTCATCATCATTTTTACGTATTGATGATGATGATGATATTACATCTTTCAGTAATCTATACTAATATTATAAATGCGAAAATAATTCTGTCTATCTGTCTATCCATTTATTGACCTGATTTAAATGAAATTTGGTACAAAGATATTTTAAGAGCCTGAAAAAGGAAAGACTACTTTTTAATTTAGTTTGTATGGAAATTCGTGGTTTTGAAGCTAGAACAATGAAACTTTCTTCTTTGGCTTTTTGGGAATAGGAATAGAAATAAGAGGGGAAATGGGAGTGAGAGTGGGGGTAGAGTAGGAGTGATGTGAGGTGAGATTGTTGTGGCAAAGTAGCACTTACCATAGATTGGCTGCCTTAAATGCGCCCTTACATAAATTTATAAACAAACTCAATGATTAAAAATTCTACCTCAAGTCACCATTCCACGCGGACGAAGTCGGGGGCACAGCCAGTGCTGTGCCCGCGACTTCATCCAGTATAATCAAAAAAAATTAATGAGGATCGGTACTCACTGTTATTTATACTAAAAGAGCCTGATCATATTGCAACTAAATTTAAATCTTAAGTGCCTACATAATAATTAATGTCAAAAAATGCTAACAAAAAGTAATATTATCTAGTTATAATTAGAAAATCACTTGTACTTACTCGTTTTTTATTAGGGCTTACAACTTTACAAAGATGGCTGCTTCTTACTAGAGATGTAACACCATTGTAATGACTAATTACAAATGTCACCTGGAAGAGATAATATTTCAACAAGTATGTATACAAAACTGTGATCTAAAGATATTCCCAGTTAGAGACAAATATTTATTAAAGTGTTGCCTTATTGAAAATATCTACAAGAGATTATCAGATATATTATGTAAATATTAGAAGAAGCAGATAATAGATATAAATTATAATAATAGGTCTAGTTGTAAAAAAACTTAAAGTAATTACATAGTTGTATAAAAAGTGCAAAGTCAAAAGCAAATAAAAATGGGTATTTTTTTACATTTAATGTTAACCTTGATTGATATAATTTTAAAATGGATATAATACAGACTACAAAAACCTATTATAATACAAAAATATACATACTGTTTAGTGTTCCTTCCTTATTTTATTAATTTTCTTACAATAGACCCTATAATGAACACAGGCAAATATTTTTTCTTTAAACGCGATATAAACTGTGTTAGCCACAGATGTATTTTATTAAAACTAGTACATATGTATAAAAAAAACTACGATCAATATTGCTCATATTCAGCTTTTTTTGTTTTTAACAGTTTAATTCTTTAGTTTTAGAACTTAATATTAAAGTACTCTGTGGATTAAGATGACAAATATATAATCTGTGTCTTTCGTGTCTTTCAATTTTACGCGCCTTTTTTGTTTATTAATTTTACCCAAGTTTTTAACCTCTTACTTTTCACTTTGTTTACGGGGCTTAAATTAAGAATCTCTGAATATTTACTAAGTAGGTCGGTATAATTTAAAAATTTGGTGGTTGTTGTAATTATTTTCTCGTCAAAAGGTTAATACATATATCATATTGAACTTAAAGTAAAATCTTTACAATAAGTATCATAAATTAGTTTTTGCTTTGATTTTAACTTAATTCAATCATATACCATCCAACTACCATACACATACCTTATACATACATACACTCCACCTTTTTTTAGGTGTCATATAAATCTGACTTACTATTTTTCAGATAAGTTTATTATGGCAAATTATCAACCTTTAATATCCAGTATGTTTGTTAGAAAAAGAGCAAGAACTCCTGAAAGTGATATTATTAAAGAAAATGTAAGTATTGTATGCACCAATATATATCAACTTCTACTATTTCCTATTAATATTTGAACGAATAATCTTAACATTTATATTACCTACTAACATATATACCTTTTAGAAAAAGATCAAAACCTGTGATACTAAAGACTGTAATTCCTATACACTACCGGATAGTCCTAATTCGTCATCAGAGGAATTTACACATAGAGAAAAACAAGATGAAGTAACAACTCAGTCCAATGAAAATAAAATTACTGATGAAAACCAAAATGTTAGCAACCAGGAAATTGAAAAACTTCAGACAGATACTAAAACCAAGCTTCCAGACTCTTCTAAAGATTTGAATATGGAGAAATGTGGAAGTTGTGGACAATTTTTAAACAATTCAGACATAATTTACTATCAAGGACACCCACAAAATTCTGTGGAAGAATATATAGCGTTAACAAATGACAAGTTATTATTGATTTCTGGTACTTATTTACCTTTATTAATATGTCTCTTAATTTTATGAGGCAGTATTGCAGTGAAAATGCACAACATTTATGATTTTTCAGGTGAGGAAGGGGATATTATGGAGAGGCCACAAACAAACATAACAGGGTTTTCCATATTTGATCAGGAGGGACATCTTGTCCCAATTGACGGAGGTCTTATTGAGACTGATGTAAGAATATATATGTCGGGTTATCTCAAGTCTATATGTATTGAATCTCCAGATATTGATGAAGAATGCATTCCTGTTAAAGATATTGGCCCTATAATTGAGTGGTATGACAATTTATATTTATAATAGCTTACATTAAAAAAAGTACTGTTTCCCCTCCTTATTTAGTAGTTTGTAGTTCGATAGTAGTTTTTTGCTGTCTAACAAAAATATAATGATTCCCTGGGAATCCCAAACAGAAAAACATATATATATGTGCAAACATACAATAATGGGAGAAGTCTAAGATGTTGTTTCATTTATATTAAAATCATGTTAAAGGTTCATCCATGGCTTTGATGGAGGCAGTAGAAACTGTGTTACTTTATCAACAGAATTTGGTGAATATAATCTACTTAAACCAAGCACTGAATATATGCCCCTTATGAATAATTTATATGAGAAGATATGGTTAAGTAAAGTTGTCATAGAATATGTCGAAGAACATGACTACATGGAGCCAACCTATGAAGACTTGTTACAAGTGGTCCGCCTATCAAAAATAACTGATTTAGATGATAAGATGATGACAGAGGAGATGTTGCATAAACATGCGCAATTTGTATGCGATCAAGTAGTTAGTTTGGAAGTGGACGAAGATAGTGTACCTCTCATTACTTTACCATGTATGAGGGAGTTAGTTAAATTAATGGGCATAAAGTTTGGGAAGCGGAAAATCAGAACGAAAATAGACTATAAGAAAGCTAATAAGAAAGTTTGGACTAAAGCAACCACGACACCATTGGTCCAAAGAACATTTGAGAGTTTCTTTACAAACCAATTGGATAAGACCAATCATGAACTGGTATTGAGAAGGAAACGGTGTGGGGTGTGTGAGGCTTGTCAGCTTCCAGACTGTGGAGAGTGTAATTTCTGTAGGGCTATGCTTAAGTTTGGAGGGCATGGTCGTACAAAGCAAGCTTGTGTCAGGTATATAAAATAGTTTGTAATTAGGAATAATTTAATATTTCATGTTATTTGAATAATTGGTTAGGAATATTATTAAAAATTAATAATCCAAATGAGCTGCAAACATACAACTAACCTTTTGTTTATTTGTAATTATTTTATTTATGCGCTTCACATATGCATGATCAAGTGAAAATTATAATGTTGAGTATGTATAATTTTGTTATTAAGTATAAGCTTATATATGACGAATTTATTTTAGACGCCGTTGCCCAAATATGGCTGTACAACAAGCTGAAGATTCTGATCCTGACGAAGATGAAGATAGTCAAGACAGTGTAGAAAAAGATACACTTAATGCAATAGAGGAGAGAGTACCTGTAAAATTGACTGGGTCCCATAGGAACATAGCATGGGTTGGGGAACCAATCAAAGCGGATAACACCAAAGTTTATTATGTGAGTGCAGAAATAGACGGTCTTGAAATAAAAATAGGTGACTTTGTTATGATTGAAACAACTCAGGCGAATATTCCCGCTTTGGTATCCAGAGTTGTCTACATGTGGAAGGAAATTCTCAACCCAACAAGCGGCTTCTTTCATGCTGAAGTGTTTATTAGATCGGCGGACACAGTCTTGGGAGAAGTGGGAGGTTGGTACATATTATTTAATTTGTGGCAAATAAAGAAATGAAATTAAAAATTATCCTTTCCAAAACAAATTTGTAGCAATATCTTTAGGTTACGCGAGTACTGAAACATGTAAGTAAAACACTATTAAACGCCGAATTAGCGTATATACAATTTTGTTTTAATGGGTCACTCCCCCGTGGCCGCGGCTATTGCGAAGCATCCAAAATGTCGAGCCGTAGTTCGATGTTAACAGTTGACTTATGTATATTTTGTTCTTTAGATCCCAGGGAGGTGTATCTCGGAGATCGATGCTGTCACGGCGCTCCTCTGTCGTCCATTCTTAGAAAAGCTGCTGTTGAGATAAAAAGGACCCCTGACAGCTGGTTCCAACTGGGAGGAAATGAGGTAGAACAAGAATTTCATGAAGACAATGGCCAAACATATTTCTACAAGAAGTACTATGAAAGATTCACTGCTCGATTTGAAGACCTTCCTCCCGATCCAGCGTGTCCTAGCGACTTAAGAAAACACAGGTTTTGTCCGTCCTGTGAACGAAAAACGAAAAGAGATGTGAGAGACATACCAAAGGTTTCGGGCAAACTCACTGAAAAATCCGAATTCGTTCAGGACGATAGCCGTACAGAATGGACTATTGCCAAGTGGCGGGAGTACGAATATAAGAAAGGATGTGGAGTGTTTCTGAAGCCCGGAACGTTCAAACTGAGAAATAATCTCAAAATGAACCACGCAAGCGGCAAAGTTAAACTCGATGACGTAGACGAAGACGTGTACCCTGAATATTACCGCAAGAGCGATAATAATTTGCGCGGATCTAACATCGATACTAATGAGCCGTTCTGCGTGGGCCACATAGTGGCCGTGACTGCGGCAGGCGAAGGATCGCTGATAGCGCCCCAAGACATTTACCTAAGAGTCAACGTCTTGTATAGACCAGAGAACACGAGCCGTCCCTTTCCGCAACACGAGGACCTAAATCTTGTCTATTGGAGCGAGGAAATACGCGAAGTTCCATTCTCTTCGGTCGTAGGGCCGTGTCATTTGAGTTACATAGATAATATACCGCAGAGCGACTCAATTTACACGTGGTTAGAGAGAGACCCGAACAGAATTTACTTCAGAATGTCGTACGACAAAAAGTCCGACGAATTCAATGATATACCTCAATGTGCCCGTACGATTGGGCCGAGCAAAGGCAAGGATAAGGGAAAGGGCAAGGGTAAGTCTAGTAAACCAGAGCTGCGCGTCGTCACGGCGGAAGCGAACGTTCGGCCGTTGAGGACTTTAGATGTGTTCGCGGGTTGCGGCGGCCTGTCTGAAGGCCTCCACCGGTCTGGGATCGCGGAATGCAAGTGGGCCATAGAGAACGTCGAAGCAGCGGCGCACGCCTACTCACTCAATAATACCAATTGTACGGTGTTCAATGAGGATTGTAACGCTCTACTCAAAGAAGTGATAGGCGGAGCGTCGCATAGCTCCCGTGGCCTGAAATTGCCCATGAAAGGGGAGGTCGAGCTGCTATGTGGCGGACCTCCTTGCCAGGGCTTCTCGGGGATGAACCGCTTCAACTCTAGGGAGTACTCGAACTTTAAGAACTCCCTCGTCGCATCCTATTTATCTTTCTGCGATTACTATAGACCAAAGTACTTCATATTGGAGAATGTGCGAAACTTTGTCGCGTTCAAGAAGGGGATGGTTCTGAAATTGACCTTGAGGGCGTTGCTGGATATGGGATACCAGTGTACGTTCGGCATTTTACAGGCCGGTAATTACGGAGTACCGCAAACGAGGCGGCGTCTTATAATTCTTGCCGCCGCGCCGGGTTACAAATTACCTCTGTACCCTGAACCCACACACGTGTTTAGCAGGAGGGCTTGCTCCCTTACTGCCACTGTAGACGGAAAGAGATTTTTAACAAATATACAGTGGGACGAATCCGCCCCGAGACGGACCTGCACCATACGAGACGCTATGAGCGACTTACCCCAGATTTGCAACGGAGCAAATAAAATTGAAATCAGTTACGGTTCGATGCCGGAGAGTTACTTCCAGCGGCTGGTGCGGAGTAAAGACGAGAACGCGATGTTGAGGGATCATATTTGCAAGAATATGGCCCCGCTGATACAAGCTCGCATTTCTAGAGTTCCCCATACACCAGGCTCAGATTGGCGTGATCTCCCCAATATATCCGTAGCTCTGTCAGATGGAACTAAATGCAAGGTAATTTAAAATTACCTCTTTTCTAGCAATAACATCTTAACTTTGTGTCTCCTAAGACTAACACAGTCTGTGTTAGTTTTAGGAGAGAATTATATAATATTAGTATTTTTTAAATGTCTTTCAGAGTATTTAAAATCCAAACGTAAACTAGCACTTTCTAACCTCGGACGTACTAACGTTTTTAAAAATATAATCGTTCCTAGGTATTGCATTACCGCTACGAAGACAAGAAGAACGGCAGGTCATCGACTGGTGCTCTGCGTGGTGTCTGCGCGTGCGCAGCTGGCGGTGTGTGCACCGCTGCAGACAAACAAGAAAACACGCTTATACCCTGGTGTCTGCCACATACCGCTAACAGGCACAACAACTGGGCGGGACTTTACGGTTAGTATTTCTATTTAGGCCTTTTACAAAAGAAAATATAATTTTCAATAAAAGATTTATTTTCATTCTTTCATCTCAACAAAAATATTATGAATAAAATATAATAAATTAATCAATTTTAGGTCGTATATCGTGGGATGGCTACTTCAGCACAACGGTGACAGACCCCGAGCCGATGGGGAAACAAGGTCGAGTCTTACATCCCGAGCAGAACCGTGTTGTCTCCGTCAGGGAGTGTGCAAGATCCCAAGGATTCCCCGACACGTACTTATTCGCGGGATCGGTACAGGACAAACATCGACAGGTACTTCAATTGGCTTTGCTCATCTACCAGTATTATACCTTATTCATAAGCACATCAATATTTCATTACTAATTTCGTTGTTACGAGTTTCGAACGATACAATCATCAAGTAATATGTATAGTTGCTTCGGCCAGACAATCCGAAGCCGAAAGTTCCTTGAATACATAGTGAATGTAAGAAGTATTTTACCTACACGTTGTCTTAAGTTATCATACGCAGTATTTTGCTATTCGTTTTTTTTTAATGATAGATGAGGACAGATAAACATGCATTTCACTTGATGGTCCCCATCCTATAGCACCTATACAAAATGTGCTGTCAATCTATTTTGGCCTTGGATAGTTTTATATAAAAGTGAGCTTGTTTGAGACACATAGTACTGTCAACTACAAACGGTTTCATTTAAGTTTTGTATAGTTACCAGATATATGATTTTTTGGTTGATTTTATCATAGTTATATTAATTTTGTTGGGGTTGTGTTAAAAACATTTTATTTTTCAGGTTGGGAATGCTGTACCCCCTCCATTAGGTGCAGCACTGGGAAGAGAAATCAAAAAAGCTTTAATATCGTGACGTGGAAATTACTTTAATAACTGGACAATAAATATGTTTCAAAACAGTTTAATATATGTTTTAGGTAAATTTAATATGTTAGACGCTAACTTACTTCATTTATTTTTTAAAGCACTTTTAGTTTTCCTTTTAACATTTTTAACTAGCAAATTAATTTCAATATCTTCTCTTGACTTTTTTGATTCTGTGGCGACAGGTATGTCGTCAGTTGGTCTCCTTTTTAATTTTTCTTGTATGAGTTTTTCCATATTTTTAGTTTTCTTAAAGTTGGGGTCAGTAGGATCAATGTTAAAATGATGTGATTCATAAAGAGCAGCAAATCTTTGATCATTTACATCTATTTCAAAGTCTGGTATAGTTTCCTTTTGTTCCTTTAATTTCTCTTTCAATTTCTTGCGCTTGGATTTTTTAGAAGTAGTTTCTGCATCTTGAATTTTCTTCAAACTAAAGTGTTTCTTACCATCCTCCTCATCAAGCAATAGCTCTAACTCTGCCTTACTTTGTTCATCAGGAGAGTTATCATTTTCTTTCTTTAGTTTTTTTATTTTCTTAGTCCTATTTTTAAATTCTGGTTTATTAAATTCTTCAGCAAAGTAAGGATCATTCATGTCAATATCAGATGGAATATCATCAGAAAATGCATCTTCTGATTCGCCACTGCTTTCTTGTTTTGATTCTTGTTTCATTTTGCGTAGTTTTTTCTTTTCTTTCCTCTTTTGTAGTAACTTTTCAAAAGGTGTTAAAATTTTGTTATCTGAAATGTTTAAAAATGTATAAGCATAGTTGAACTATAGATATAAATAAAAGTCTTTTTTTTATAATATTATCTTCTATAATAAATATGTTCTATTAGTAAAAAATTAAAACTCACCTTCTGTCAATTTTGCCTTGACAAGTTTTTCAGCTTTGTCCTTTACTCCAAGCCCCCAAGTGATCTCCATTTCCATGTCTTTATTTTGTTTCTTCTGTTCCTTACTTTCAATGTCTTCCAATAGCATCTTATATTTCTGTATGGGGTCATCTGTCCCACTTTCTTCCTTTGATTCTACATTATCCTCCTCAGGATTATCATCTGTTACATATTGATTAATAATTATAAAATGAAAAAGTAAACAAAGTTTTTTACATTCTTTTTGTTTATTTTACACTTAATGTGTAAAAGCATATAAAAAAATTAAACTAATTTTACCATTTTCTTACTCTCGCTTTGAATGTGTGTACATATTAAGCTCCCTAAGTTTTGGCTTCACCGTCAAAAGGTAAGAAAAAAATGAGTCCTAATTTGATATAAATTACCTTCACTACTGGATGCCAGATATTCTTTTAAGTCTAGGTCATCAATTTTGCCATCCAATGCGCCCTTTATCGTCTCCGCGCGGTTAGGATTAGTGGTGTCCCATGTGAGTTCTACTTTAGCTTGTTGCAGTGCAGTTGTGGTGAACAGCCGCGGCCTGTATTTAGATAGATCCGGCAGTTTAGTACACTCTTCTCGCGGTTCCTGAAACGAAAAAGAAATGTTAGAGTAAATTGATAAATATTCGGGAACCTGTGGAAGTGTGGGAAGCATTTGCTAACAAACCCAGCCAAATCTTTTCTCAACTGTCTAAATAGTTTTTTCTTGAATAATTTTATATAACCCCAATCGGGTTTTCGTGGGTGCTAATAAATAGTTAAAATCTCATTGTAATAGACAATTAAAAATATAATTAATAAAAAAATGTAATTATATATTTTTTGTTTTGTATAAGGAAAATCCCTAATTGGCGGGTTGTTTTAAGTACTAACAAAGGCAAAATAATATATACAGTCATACTTGATCAAAGGTGACGTCATCTGGCACAAATCTCATGTCCAGCTTGGTTGCACTGCTTTCGTATTCAATCCCATCGCATTCAGTGTAAAGTTTATCGGCAGTAGCTGCAGAATCACATTCTACTACTGCGTAAAAATATTTAAGCCTATTCAATTGATAGCGTCGAAGCTTTTCCATGTGATATGACGATCCTGTTAAAAATATCCAAAATAAGTACGGTCTAGTAAAAAGTTGAAAGGTCTTGTAACATGTTGTACAAGAGTTTTTGGATTTCAGTAAAATTAGTCGCATTAGTTAGATTGTGATTATAGCTAACGTTGTTCGTTAGCAACAAACACAATCACCTTTAAACAAACTCACAAATAAAGTTCACACATAGCAGAGAAGTGAGGAAGCAATGGAGGAATTAATTCTTAATATTGGAATTTGGACTAGCTTCAAATTAGATCAAAGCCTCTTGCTCAACAATTGTTTTTTTATTTGGTTACAATATTTTTGTATTTTCAAACCTTCTTCATTTCCTCCATCATCAGAAAGATTGACATCTTTATTTTTATCATCAGTCAACTCAATGGGACCTCGAACTTCTTCCTCCTGCATACGTTTTAGACCATATTCAGATGGATAGATCTATAAAGTTTAAATATAGTTATCAATGTAAGAATCTTTCATTTTAGTCAAATGGATTCAAAACTCTAAAATCGAAGATATATGGAAATGAAGGCTGATGAATACTACCACTCATTTTTGAACCAGAGATGCTTTAAAAAACTAAAATTGAAGCTGTAATAAAGTATTACATCAGTTTATTTTCATCCTATTATTAGAAGGAAAATCCATTGTACAGCTTACTCTATAAATATGTAAAAAAATAATATATATCTTAGTTAATTATTGAATTATTCATCAATACTTACTGTTATACTGTGTATGAATCCACCAGCAGGAAGAAAAGAACTCAGGAGTACCATGAGGTCTGATGCTTTAATATTATCCCAATCCATGTTACATATTGCAATTCTGAAAAATGATTGTTTTTCTTTAACATACACTGTGAAAATGGATTCAACAGCATGAAGAGGAAAGGGGATAAAATTCTGCTCCATTGTAAATATTGAGAAGGAAACCACAATACAGACACCCATTACTTTAATGAAACTATAATTACAGCTAAGGATTTAACTAAATTTGGCATTATATCAAATATATATCAAAAGTAGCTTTTATCTCTTTAGATTTGTACCTTGCACAGTACTTCTTTGGGACACAATATAGAGGGTGAGGATTGGTAAAGTCCTACTAAAAGCAGTTTTTTTTTTACAGTCCTTGGGTGAACTTATAAATACATTAAAGTTTATTATAAGTTAGAAAAGATAGTATGGTTTAAGTTCATGTATTCTAGTCTGATTATATATATATATATATAATATATATATATATATATATATATATTTATTTTTTTATATGTTTTTTTTAAGATCTCTGTTACATTGGATTCCATCTGTTATGACAGTGCATATATGTAAATATTAAATAAATAACCAGCATTTGTAATACCACATTTCCATACAAAAAGAAACTATGTATAAAACTAAAAATTCTTTAACCTTTTAGTAGCTTCATCTGTAGAATCAGCATCAGCATCCAATTCTCCCCACTCGTGCTCTACCTCATCATCTTCCTCTGATCCACTACTGTCTTCATCACTTGAACTATCGGTTAAAAGTAGACCTTAAAATTATATTTTGTTTTAAATGTATAGTATTTCTGGATATAAGAAACATTAGGAAAACAAACTATTTGTGTATCCGGCGGAAAAGGTAAGAATATATTTGTATATAAATTTAACAAAAGTCTTTACCCTCTCCACGTGCATAATCTATATCCAAATCTAGGAGACGCTTCTTAGTTTTATTGTCTAGACTGCCACATACTAATTTATCGTTTTTAAAATCTTGAGCCACTTTTTCACTCTTAACGTCGTCAGAAACCGGTCTTTTAACGAAATGTCCTGGTTGTTTCACATCATCTTTCTCAGAAGATGAATCTCTTTCAGAGCCACTTTCTGACTCTTCTAAATCATAATACTTTCTTAAATTCTCTGTTGATGTTTCATTTATCGGTCTACCTCGTTTGTCAACAGTATATTTGACCTTAAACTTATCATCATTAAACATGGACTGAAATCTTTTATCAATTTTAACCTTCCGTTCATGTTTTGGTATCTGACGATACTTCGGATCGTTTAAATATTTAACAAAACGACTATCCTTTAATATGTCACCCATTATGAATCTTAATTTTTAAAGGTTATACGTAAAAAGAAATTAAATATTTTAAAACATCATATGTAACCTAAAACCTTTATAAGAACATTGTTTAAGTTTTAAACATGCATGGCATTTCACACATGTGTATGACATTGAAGCTTCGATATTCATTATATGTACATCTGTGGTGAGTAGACTTTTTGAAGTCGTCAGAAAGTGTATTATATTATCTATAGTCTATTTTGGATATTTGAATTCGCATCACCGGTCACCCTACTGAATCTGTGGACTTCTTGTAACTTACAGTCGTAAACTCTTAAATAATTGCTAAGTGATTTTATTGTGGTTATGTATGATTTTTATGCAATCGCTTGAAAACTAAAAAACGGAAAATTATAATACTAAAACCATATTTAAAAAATACTTTCATATAGTAAATTCGCCTAAAAGATGAATAGTATAGGCGAAGAGTGTACAGAATTAAAGAAAAAATACGATGATTGCTTTAATTCATGGTTTTCTGAGCGTTTCCTAAAAGGAGATCACGATGATTCTGTATGCTCGAGCATTTTTAAAGTTTACCAAGAATGTGTTAAGGTATAGTTAAAATATTTACATATTTTTTTCTTATTTTACATTTATATCAGAAAATTGTTTAAAACCTGATTATAAGGCTGTTAGTAATGTAGAATTAATTAATTATTCTATCTTTTCAGAATGCTATGAAGCAACAGAATATTGATTTTAAAGATATTGATAAAGACGTTTTGGGTACTGATAATGAGTTTAAAGTCCCACCATCAGATAACAACAGTTGACAAAAATGTCACCTATTATGTGTGCTGAACCCAGCAATGTGCTGGAATGTTTTAAAATTCAATATAACCAAAAGTGCTATAACAAATTCTGTACAAAAATAATGCAATAGTGTTTGAAATAACAATGATTAGTATTAAAATACATTTCAATTATTTTGCATCTTATAATAAAAAATATTGTTAAAAAATAGATAGCATTGATGTGATATGTTTCTTTTAAATGCTCAAGATTGTTTTAAATCAAACTTGATAATGACTTGGTAGTGACTTGTTATTTAAACTTATAATAATCCCCAGTGACATAAGGTGAATGTTCCATGGAGCAAAAATTTATATACTAGTCATACTAGTTGATTTGTAGATAGTGATGGTGTAATTTATGTAATAAACAAAGAATGTTATATTTACTACTTTTATTTTACTTGCATGCAAAGTCATTAGCATAAAATAAATAGTAAAAATGAATCACCTGGTCAAAATTGCTTAAATGAGAATATTCTTTATTCTTAGCTTAGTTACAATTAATTAATATGAATTTCTCTTAGATTCTTTGAATGACAGTTTAATATTTATCTTTGGCTTGTATCTCGAGGCCTATAAACAATGCCACGGCTTTTCATTTCTCTAATAACTCCTGCTGGTAGTCGGCCAGATACAGAAATTGCATAGACACCCTTACAAAAGCGACCTGGAAAAAATAAGTTACAATCAAGTGATTAGACTGCTTTCAGTTGTGTGGAGAAAAAGAAAATTACTAAATGCAGTACAGTATTATGCTATTAACTCTGTCTATATTGCACAGGGTGGTACTGATATAAGATAAAAAAATTGTATTAGTATTTACACTTTTCACCAATGGTTTCATTTGTTCTATTAATTGTGAATGTTGTTATTTTTTTAATCCTTGAGGTAAATCTTTACATAAAAGTTAAAAACAAACTTTAATTTAATACTATTTTTTGAAATATCTTTAATTTCATAATAATTAAAAATAATTAAAGGTATTGTGTTAGTGTTTAGTAATTAAAAGTTAAATAAAATACAAATAAATAAATGAATAGTATATTTTTACTGAGGCTACTACTACTTTACTGTTATATATTGATTATAAAAAAGGCACTTACTAATTCTCTGCCATTTACAGACCCAACTGTCTTCTGGACTCATAACAGCAATCATTCTAAAATCAATATCACAGTTAAATATTAAGTGATAGGTTGGGTTAATGCTTTTTTATTGGGCATGGAAGGCATATGCTTGTGCCTGTTTCTCTTGTTAGCAAATTTTTTATTTAAAGTCAATTTAGTTTACCTTGCCTTGCCCCACAGTAACAACTGGCAGAGAGGATTCAAAAGTACTCACCCATCAAAATTATTACTTGTGCAATCATATACATTGTCCTTATTGTTTTTCATTCGAAGAAATTCATCACAATTATCACATCCATCAAGTTCGAATTGATCAAAAGTCTGAAATGTATAAGAGGTTATTGGATGTCTTCCATCTATTGAGAATATGTTATATTCTCAAAATACATACCTTTATTAATGAACAAACTAAACAGGCGCGCAATCCTCTCAGATCTTTAGGTACGGTGTTTAAAGACATATTAATAATTTTAAAACACAAATTAAAATTATTTTGTTTATAGGCGATCTAATGTGAACATAATAACATTAAGGTCCTGTTTGTATATTCTTGTTATTTATGATATAGAAACAAACACTAAAACCCCTAAAAGCCAAACACTATCAAATCCCAAATATTTGTTATTAAAATAGAAAAACACAAAATAGAGAATTGATAGCGTAGAGTAGAGAGAATTTATTATACATCCATCCGCTATCACTTGTTCTATGGAGAAAATACACGATTATTCGTTGTCACAGATGTATAAAAAATGTAGTATGGAATAAAGCGTGGCGCACGCGCAATCAAAGCCACAGATTCGCAGCTGTGTCATAGCACACTCACAGATTATAAGAATAAAATACGAAATTGAAACCATAATTACCATGGATTAAACAAATGACATTAGGTCTATGTGTCTGTAATCTTCATAGTTTAAATTCATAGTTCGAGTTTATTAAGTTTATTGTAAAGCCTTCCATTTACAATGGAAAAGCCATCAAATTAACCAGAAGAAGAAGTATAGCCAAAAAATGGGCTATTTGACTTTATTATTAAAATGTACTTTATATTTTAGTGTTCAAATAGAAGTATAGTATTTTTGAATTCCGATACATATTTGCTAAAATATGTGGAACAGAAATCCAACATTTAGATTGCGCGCCTAAACGCTAGTTTTGCGAAAACGCTGCAATACGGCTAGTGACGTCATGACCTCGTATGGCCATGCATTCGTACCAGCATTTACCTTTTAATAGTGATAGAAGTAATAAAGTGAGTTAGAAATTTATTTATTTTTTAATGTATAGAATAGAGCAGTTTTAACACTAGGCAGCACGATGGTTTATAAGCAAGTGACGACGTCATAAACCGGATCAAGCAAAGGCGTGAAACAAAGTCACGTGACAAATCTTTAAAATATATTTTTTTTATTGCCGTATTTCATTTAAAGCAATCAATCGGGCTTTCACACTGCCAGTTATTACTTACAAGCCTAGAGCGCGCCATTACAGATTACATTTGTCATCTTATACGAAATTAACTAAATTAAAATAATTAAGTACCTACATGCTATTGTGCCCGTAAAACAATGTTGTTGAAATGCATGAAATAAACGTTACTCTATAATATAAACTACTTTAATAATACTTTTGACGAGTAAAGTAAAACAATATATTAATTAAAATCTGTGACATATTATACTAATATAGAGAATAAATACATCACCATTAATTGATGTACAGATTTGTATATTTTGACGATACGTATCAATCCTTTACCAAGAATTATGAAACATTGTTTTTATCTCATTCAGATAAAATTACGAGCTTCTATTAATGAGTATTATTATTCTTCTTACTGAACGAATCTGGTGTGAATGAAATGGGTGAGAGGTCAAAGAGCCTTATCCAATGGACATGACGCAAGCAAATATTAGGGGTGACTTTACATTTGTACAATATTAGTCGTATAAACTCTGAAGCTTAATGAAGTATGTGAGAATTCCCTTTTCCACCTCGTGGGGCATGGGGGGAACATATTTTTGTGTCCGTTTTCACTGATTCGTTCTTTAGCAGGCAAGTAGTTGTTTCTGTTTTTCCCTGGGATTCGAACTCAGGACCTCTCGCGTTTAACGCAATGCTTGGCAATATGTTTAACCATTTGGCTACAGAGGCGGTAAAAATGAAGTATGTAAATACTGTCTGAAGTTTACACTACTTAGTACTTAGTAGGCACACATTTAAATAAAAAACTTTAACGGTTTAAAATGTGATATATATTAGTTTTAGTTTTAATTAAGTAAAAATTATTGTAACTACGGCCCACCATAATTAAAATGTCTCCCCATAACCACGGCTGCTGCAAAGCATCCAAAATGTCGGGCCGTAGTCAAAATAATTGTCAAATAAGTTTACCTAATATATCGCGTTTTAAACCTTACAGTGTTTTATTAAAAAGTATGTACTTACCAGCGGTCAACTTATATTTGTTTAATTAGAAGCTCTCAACTTCTTTTCGTTTGACTCAAGTATCGTTGATTTTGAAATAGAAACGCGTACCCTACACATACTTAATTATTTTGCGTCCGAAATTCTTCTTGATTAATCATAACTGAATGTTTAATAAAATACGATACAATGATAGCAGCCCTATCACATCTTATATATCTCAATAAAATCTATAACTGCGTAGAATTAATGGGTATCAATCAATAATGAATAAACAAACTGGTTTTTACCCAGTGCTTCGCGCACGTAAATGTTAGTTATAGTTAAACACTCTATCATTCAAACGAATAAAATAATAAATCTGTCGGTAAATACAATTGGGAAAATAAATTATATACGATATGCTTACCTATAACTTACTACAGCTATGTTATATCAAGCTACACAACGGACAAATAACTCGAAAACTTAGCAATGTATAGACTTTTGAATTTCATACATAAAAAGAAAGTTACCCCGTAATTTTATCATGTTGAGCGATTTCGCTTGGCTTTATTTTAAGATTTTTTCGCTAAATAACATAGTGCGACATATAGAAGCTATTTTCGTGAATTAAAATGTCTTTATGAGGCAGAGTAGCCTAACTGCAATTTTATGACTTGAGTTATTTATATTTTTTGTTAATTTACAAGAGCACAATGAACGAAAATTGTTACCACAATCTCACAAACAAATAATAGTTAAGTTCATTTTCGCCCAAGTTAATTGCGCATTTCTATTTTCCTTCTTATTGAAAATCATGTTTTTTTATTAGGCCACTCTGCCTCTAGCAGCCTCATATAATGTTCTACGTGTTTACAGTGCCGTGGGACGGTCTTTGCGTATGTATATGAGTAGAAACGCCAGCAAAGCATTGTTTGAATGGCGCGTAATTTAATTATTTTTAATGAAAGTCAATGAATCAAAGCGTGACATCGTCAGTCGTTCTCGTAAATTGTTAAGTACTAGATAGCCCCTGATCTCTAAGACAAAGATAAGCACGTGCTCTATAACATTATAGCAATGATACAGTGATTTGCAAGACTCTCTTAATTACTACTACTTTAGTTAAAGCCCCTTTATCTCTATACAAATAATTATTTTTCTAAGATTCATTTGACATGGTTTGTTTGTTTTGCAACTTTAAAATTTAACCAATAAAACGCTATTTTTATTTAAACAACTGGCTGTGTCACCGACTTCGTCCGCGTAGAATAGTTATTTTGTGCATTCAAATTAATTTTTGCAAACCTCTTCATATTTATAATTTTAAGCTGTTGCCCACGACGTCGGTCGCGTCCCGTCGTTTTTTTGTTTCACTTAAATAGGAATCATTTTTTCATACATATATTTCGGGTATCTTGAACCGTTTATTTCACATTTTCCGCTTTTTCTTCGTTTCTATTAGTCACAGCGAGATAATTTTACCTTCCCTAAATACCTACTGTCACCAACACAAAAATAATTTATAAAATCGCACCAGTAGTTTGTGAGATCTTTTGTTGTTTAATTGTTTTAATTGATTAGAAGCGTTTTGGGCCCATCGGGCATCGAAACCTATTTATTATTAACCATACATTGCATACATTACACTAGTGTTGCCCAAATGCAAGAATAAGACAAGACTTAGCCAGTCTTGGTTTTGGTCTTGCAGCAAGAGCAATATATTTTTTAATTTGTTGTGTACGTTTATGGTATTGGTCGTAATGCGTAAGACGTATTGGTCTAGTTTTTCATATTCTTTGATACAGTTTTTCCGTCTTTTGGAATACCTAAGTGTATCTATACCCCGAACTGTTATACCTAACTACTCCGTCAAATAGCGCTAAGTCCTAGCTGCAAGACGTCTTGCCGGATTAGTCTTGATCTTGCTCAAGTCTTGCACAGTTAGTCTTGGTCTTGATCTTGCTAAAAATACGCGGTCTTGTTCTTGGTCTTCAAGTCCATGTTTTGTCACTGATCGCCTTCTTAAATGTACCTCATTTTAGGTAAAGTAGTAAAATTAGACTTAGAGCTATTATTGAAAAACTAACTTTTGCCTGAGCCATGTCTACAGGTCGAAGTGAACCTATGTGGGTAGATAAATATTTTTGAAATTACTTTCGTTTAATTTTAATCACATCTGTAATATTACTTTTATCGAACCTTGTAATATAAGCAATGATATGAAATTGCTTTTATCTAGCATACCGCTTTATATGTTTAAAATATTATAATTTGTATAATTCTTTACTACATATGCACGCGTTGATGAAGTGATTAGCGGCGTCTTTATAAAAGTGATCTTATATTGAAACGCGAAAATTTTCTTTCCTTTTAAAGCATTTGTGAGAAAAATAAAAAACTGTTAGTCGTAGAAGAACTTCACGAATCAAAATTTATTAAATTAGACAAGTTCGCCTATGATGAATTACAACCTTACATGGTAAGTACAAAAATTATTACAAATCGTTGTACTTGTTAACTGTAAGCAGTAAATATTACTTAATATAGTTTTATACATTGAATAGCTGTGCCCGCGACTTTGTCCGCATGGTATAGTTACTTCGGGCACCAATATTTGTTCGCAAAATTTTATCGAAAACTACCGCCCCGGCTTATAAAATAAGAGCTGTTACCCACAACGTCGTCTGTGTCCCGTCGTTCTTGCGAGCCAATCTCAAAAGATTGACATATCGCACCCCTAGATGAAAACATCACTAACTCAAAAAATTCTTTATTTGGGTTTGGGGCGTTTTTTAAAACCCCCCCCCTTACCCCCCCCCCGGTTTCCCCCCCCCCCCCCCCCCCCCCCCCCCCTTAAAAAATTTTTCCCCCCCCTTTTTCCTTTTCCCCCCCAAACCCCCCCCCCCCCCCAAATGATTTTTAAACTTTTGTGACAACTTTAAAAAGTAGGCAAAAGTCTGACTTACCTATCATAATAATTATTAGTATACTCAATATCTTTATACTCAAGACGCTTAAGGGGGGGTTTTTTTTTCTTTAATGAGG